AGAGCAATATTTTCAAACCATTGATCAAGATGCGAAATATGCCTTAAGATTAGAATTTAAAAAAAAAATATCTCAGAACATTCCCAGCAACGTGATAGAATATTTATAAATATGAGACTTTTTAATAGTTTTCTTTTTTATTCTTATTTAATTTTATTTCAACCTTCCTGCGCAATTGTAATAACATGTAACTTTGACCTTTTTATTCTCGTAAACAGAACATTTTGTTGAACCAGAGTGACTGAGAATTTCATTCTGTGCAAAAACGATCCTACCATTCTTTGTGTAGGACTGATAGTTTAATGGGATAACGTTCTTATCAAAATCAGTAGCTTAGATCAGTATTTTACGGTGCAGCTGCCTTCGTGTTATGTCGTAGGTCTCGCAGTGACGTTATGCAAAAAGCGGTGTGAAATTGAAATCCTATTTCACCAGTTTCCATCTCATTTTGACGTATAGTGAGGTGAACAGCAAGCGTATTATTCGATGACATGGACAATAATGAAGCGGGTGTAAGGCTAGTAAAACTTGCTTGTGGTGTTTTTTGGTATGCAACTGAAATTCCTAAATCAAAGAGTTGTTAGCAAGTACGTACAAAATGAATCTGTAGCGTACAAAAAACCAAAACAAAATACGGCCCTGTCTTCCTGGCGTTGACGGATCCATTAGAAGTATGTGTCATTTGTCGATATGGGGATTTTTGATATATTACTGACCAGCTGTTATTCTACCGTAATGGATACTCGTGAAAAAGACAGTATCTTCTCGAGTAATGGTATTATGGTTTAGTGTCAATAGTTTTATGCTTGTAATCCGGATCTATGCACGCGTACCTTCCTGCTTGGTCATATTTCTTTCCAAAGAATCAAATGAACTTACATAATTTTCCATGCTTATAGCTGTCTCTAAAGGAGTTCGTCGCCCTGGTTTTGTTATTGATAAATAGTAGAGACCTCCTGGCAGTCGACAGTACCTCATGATGGGCTTGACATATCTTGGCACTAACTGATCACCACGTTCCATTTCGAAGTCCCATCCAGCCACTTCCTTATTTACGGATTCTGACTAAAGGGTCAGAGCGATCATCTTTTTTATAAAATTCCATCAACTATATCGAAATGCTTATTACTATGAATACGTTAACAATTGTGTGAAGATATGCATAATATTTTTATGCCTAACTATGAATTATATGAGATTTTATCAATGACAAGAAACTCACTGAAGCTTTAAAACGTCCTATAAGGGCGAACGGTTATTTCCAACTTGACAAAATTGCATTTTTATCGATTAAAATAGATTTTATCCATCTTCCATTTTTTGAAATAGCTCATCTGAAATTCATACATTCTAAGAAAGCTCGCTCAAGCTGTATATATATTGCCCCCTAGAGGAATCAGCCAATAGGAATTATTTCTTTATGTGCGAATTGAATGTAGCCATATACATGATAGATTTTGTAGATTATGAAGTTGAGATAAAGCAAAATATTAAAGTTATACTACCAAGATCGTCATTCCTGGGAGATATAATCACTTTAATGGCTTCATTTGATTTTTTTACACTATCGGAAGAATCGTCTATTAGGAAGAATTCCAACTCGTAAACAGCTTCAAAATGAGGTATCACTTGACTCATACATTTGGAAAAATGTTCCAAATTGGCATGCAGCTGCTTTTCCCAATTTCAGCTGCCAAAATTGAGCCATGCAATTATTCAGGGTTAACCGGTTTTAATAGGAAAAGGGCCCAAAGTAGTAAAATTATGTGTTTTTGCACAGTCGATTGTTGCCAGTATTATTTATAACATTATTGCCCCTACTTTTGTATTTTAACCGTGTGTTACTGTTGGTGATTAGGTGTACTTGATAAGCCTGTTATTGACAGTGTGTGGTGTGTGCGTGATGTGTCAGTTTGACATTTCAGTTGAAGGTGAAAGCATGATAAATGCGTGTCATTGTCATTATTGGATAATATTCAATGGATTCATTTGCTGTACACGCATCATTACGAGTAAAGCTGCTAAACTTGCACCGTGGCACACAGACACAAATGCGACGAACAGTGACGTGTTTACCAGAGGTCAAGCCTGATCTTCAATTCAAAACATTGTGTTTCTTGACTGAACTGTACTAAAAAGTACAAAATACACCTACGAGAACAGGCGCATACAGACGTTCAAGACAAACCGGCTTCAAGTTTTGGGCAGTAGACTTTATGAATACAGGGTGTTTCTTACATGAACCGACAAAAAAAATATGGGTAATTGGGGACGCTATTTGATGATTTTTGGTGGAAACCGTAATGCTCTAAGGGCTATGGCTTTTTTTTGCTGAAATACCTACAATGGCGCAGAGCTATCGTGTTTGTCGAGATAATAACACAAGATAAATTCAAGTCGATTCTGTGTAGCATGAGATGAGATGAGATCAATGGTTTGTACAAAGCTTCTCCATACAATGACTTAAGATCTTCCAAAGTCGTAAAATAGCGCAGAGTGAATAAAAATTAGTTTTATTTACAAAAGTTCTGTGGTTTATTGCGTCTACAACGAGATACTAGACATAGAAATAATGTTTTGCGGTCGATAAACGAGAAAACTGATTAGGTTCAGGAATAAAAAATTTATTTTTTCAATGTCTCACGTTTTAATTTGATGTTAACATATCCTAAGGTATTTTCAAAATGACTGCCTTCATTTCTGAGACATGCTCGATACCTTGTTCGTATTTCGACGGTTGTTGTGTGAAGCAGGATCTCTTCCTTCATCTGACGAGAAGCAGCTTCAATCCTTTGGATTAGCACCTCTCTGTTGGGCGCCTCTGTCACATACAACAATTCCTTGGCTCGGGCCCAGACGTATAAGTCCAAAGGTGTCATGACTGGAGACCGTGGTGGCCAAGATATAGGACCATCCCTACCAATCCAGGCGTTTGGAAACGCTTTGTCCAAAAACTGTCGAACGGGTTGGACGTAATGTGCGCAGTCTGCAGGAATTCCATGTAACTTTCACCATTTAGCCGGTCTGGCAAAAAAGGTCCTATCAGAGTCCGTCCAATAACGCCGGCCCACACGTTGACGCTGAATCGTCTTTGAAATGAGCAGTCTTTTCTTGTGTGGGTTCTGGTCCTGGTCTGCCCAATAGTGTAGGTTGTGCAAATTCGCGATTCCGTCATGGTTGAAGCTGGACTCATCTGTCCACAAGATCCTCTTCAAAGACTGATTCAAATTACATAAAAATGTGTAAAAATAAAAAATCATTAGCTCGACACACTGGTTCCTGTAATTTTGACCACTAAACAAATTACTTCTATGATGTGTAGCATATCGTTGGAAAGGCAAAGAAACACGGAACTTTTTTTAATAAAACTAAGTATCACCAGAGGTATAGTTTTTTTGTCGTAATCGAATTTTGAATTTAAGGTTGTTTAATCACCCCGTGCTATTTTACGACTTTGAAAGGTCATAATTTATTTTATGGAAAAGCTTTGTACAAACCATTGATCTCATCTGATTCAGTATGCTATACAAAATCGACTCGAATTTATCTTGTGTTAGTATTTCGACAAACAAAAAAGTTATCACGATAGTTCTGCGCCATTGTAGGCAATTCAACATTACGGTTTCCACCAAAAATCATCAAATAGCGTTCCCAATTATCCATATTTTTTTGTCGGCTCATATAAGAAACACCCTGTATAGTCTAGATAACGAACAAAACCTCACCAACTCGACTCTATTCATAGTATGAGGTCTGTCGGAATATGACAGCACAAAGTGTATCTATTACCAGAATCGACCACTGCGAAGTGAAAACAGCAAGCAGTCTGTTGGAACTGCATGCCAATTCGCATATCAGTTGGTTCACCAGAATCGGCGGCATCTAGCGGCCACAGTGCTGACCCGGCTGACAATGCCAACTGGCATACAGTCCCAGCAGACAACTCGTTTTCACTTTCGCAGTGGTCGATTCGGTAATAGATGCACGGTAATAGACCTTATACTCTGAATAGAGTAGAGTTGCCCAGCTTTGTTCGTTGTCCACCGAGACCAAGCCTACCTACGCCGTACTGAAGAGATGCAAAAAGGCACGTTAAACATCTGTCCGTGGTTGGCCATCTGTGGTCAGACGAACGAAAGCTATACTAGTTTATATTATCCTCGCTAGGAAACCGATTTCCTTTAGCTTCATTTTTACATGCGGAAACAGTGCAAAGTCGCAGGGAGCAAAATGCCCCTTTGGAATTCTGTGTACCACCTGAGTATAGTCGTACGATGTAGACAGTCTTTCTTTAATGCAAGCGTCATTTCAGCTAAGCACTGGTCTATGCTTGAACCATGCGTAAAGTTATACCGTAAACTGCCCTTATCTCACTACGTGTCCACTCATGGACATGTCTCAACATGCAGTGTCATGCAGACTCCTGCGTCCGTTAGTTAAGTCATATTGCAAAAGTTTTACAGTGCCCTTTGTATGAGTTCATTTCCAAGATTAGTGTGTTATTCCAACCATTATACAAGATAAATACGTATACATCTTTTGACTGGTCTATAGATTAGTATATCGATTTTTTGGGATTAGCATGAATTTTTTTTAATGACATTTTAGGAATGTCAGTGAAATGACAGTGGGCATACTGACACGGCACATGAAACTTTGCAGCATTCTAGGTTTTCACATGTTTCCTTGTGGGTGAAAATGGTCTTTTCACGATTGTTGGCGGATCACGGTAAAATCGATTTCCATACGAGGACGTTTTTTTCGTAAGCTTAGGCATACGTTTTTTTTTGTTTTATCTCACCGCCTGGAAAATTTGGTCATAAACGTATTTATGCATCCATTCTGCGAGTTTACCTTTCAGTGATCTTCGATATAAAACAGCCACGCCTGAAGATACAATTACAATGTTAACAGCGTGCATTAAATTCATTGAGTATTTTGAGAAGGTGAATGCAAAGAACCTATTTAAACAGCCAATTAATGTGTGTGTGCAAAGAACGAGTAGCAGCTGAGTTGAGGATCGACTTATGCATTGTGCAGTTTCGCTTAGGAAAGTTAAGCTCCCCACATGTAGTACAGGTATCCGATCTGTTTACTTATTTCGTATGATATCTTGACGTAACCGGATAAACCGTGAAAGGAAACGTACATTGCATTCAAGTGCAATAGGTTATATACTTCACGAAATAGAAGCTGAATTCAATTAAGGATTTCCATAGAAATGTTCTCACATACATACATATCTAAAGCCTATACATTATTTTAGTCTGTCATGTTTGACTTGTGGGCCTTTGAACTTGAAAAATGTTTTCCGTGTTGGTCTCATTTTGACAGGTAACGTCAGCATGCTATCAGAATTCATGCCTGTGGAGCACTTTATGCGATACAACTTACAAGTGCAGCCTAACAATGCGCTAACCACAGGATTTGCGAACATTGATAAAATACGGACGTACAGAGATGCATGCATTTCTGGACTATTTGTAATTAAGAATCTATTAATCTTTAAGCAATAAAGTATGTCTGTATCATTATCAACTTAACCAATTTAATTAATGACAATAATAAACATGTATAATTGGCCAAACTCTTAATAACTTGACCTGTATTGCAATTTATTATGTCGAATGTATATTATTGGTTATTACATATAATACTTCCTACCTTGTGTGGAGTAATTACATTTTGATCTGTTCTCCTAGCTTCGCACCAATCTCAACCCTGTTGAAATACTTGTGAGACATAGACATCGCATAGTACTTCCTGGAGTACTTTTGTCAGCGTGCCAGCACCATAGATTTTTGGATCATTGGTTCTGCATTGTTGTCTATACTAGACGACCGTCATATACTAAACCGGCTTGATTTATTACCTAAAACGTGTAGAGGTATGAATATTGCAGAAGCATCTGATTATTAAACCTTAGGTCGTGCTCAAAAATCTAGAAACTGGATGTATAAACGTCCCCTTCATCTCTAGAGTCGTGGAAATATGTATGGAAGCAGTCGCGGATTTGTTTTGAGGTGCTATCGAGTAAACAACGAAGATTCATTGCATGGTTCTTTCTCGTTTTCAAGCCAAAGTCCAGCTTTTCTGTCGAGTTACATAAAGTCGTTCTTCGTTTGAACTGTTGTGGAAGAAAGATCCTCTATACTTGATGGCCTTCAAGCTGTGTACTGTCTTCGGAGTGCCGATTTATGTTTTAGTTGAAAAAAACAATAATAAATAAATCATAATCGATAGTCTCTAAAACGATTTCCAGTATATGAAGATTATTAATCATGGTCAAATATTCCATTTAAACTAACAGCATATTGAAACGATTTTCTAGAAATATTGTAACTGTTTATAACTTAATTTACATTCTCACTTTGTATACTCTGGAATGGATTTCCTTTTCTGCAAAATAGAACATCGCCATGCATTTCCAGTTCAAGCATGTGGTGCCTTGACTCGAACTTCGCCATCGTGATCACGTTTCGCTTGGGTCAATTCCCCGTCGATGAAAGTAGTAAGATTGGTAGACCTATTTGACACATAAAATAATTCAATTGAAGTTCTTTTACGAAGGTTTTGGTAGTCCAGATTTTCGCGATTCATAGACTGCAAAAAGGCTAAGTTTGATCTGATGTAATAATTGGAAAACACGGATAAGGACAGTTTCCACATAAGCAACATTTACTTCCGTCAGTACGAGATATGGAATTAAAAAGTATGATATTATTGAATCGAATATTGAAAACAATTAAATATGTAATAAAAAAAATATCAAAAATAACACAAGGAGGGGTGGGAGCACACACGTTTTTGCGTTCATGTAGTATCTATACATACAGGGTGTCAAGTTAGTAGTGGATCAACGGCAGTCAGATGATAGAGTGCCCCAAAACCTCATCGAATGAACCCACTATATGTGTGGTCCGAATTTTTATAGTTCAGTTGCAAATTTGTGAAATTTGGAAAAAAGCGTGATAATAAACTTTCAATCGCAATCACAACTAAACTAACTATTTCAATCCATGTGGAATAAACCCTGAAATTTCAGCTTTTCTCGATGAGTGTATCATGTCAACCTCGTTGTTGTGATGCGGTAAACGTAAGAAACCGCAATAGAATCCTTACCAACTACAAGTTCAGAACCTATTGTGTTTAGCCGCTCTTTATGGCGATTTACCGACAAATGTGGAAAATAATTTAATTTCACTAACTTTAAAGAACATGTTCGGAATGGCCTCCATTGTTTATACACAAGCGACACCTAATAAAATGTCCTTTAGTCTTGAAATGAATTTGCGTATTCCATAATTTTATGTTGCTTCATCAATTTTCTGGCGCAGTTGGTTGACATTTGTATATTTAGATGTATAGATTATCCTCTTATAACATCCCCATATAAAAATCTAGAGGGTTTAAGTCGGGTGACCTTGTGTCCTCCTCTACCTATCCAACGCCCAGGAATGACACACAACATGCAAAGTGGCATGGGGCACCATCGCATTGAAACTACATGCGGCTTCGAACATACAAAGGTATGTACATCCTCTAGCAGCTCATGCAAACTGCGTTGTAGAAAAGCAAGATATGACTGACCATTCAACCGAGGCGGGCAATTCATATGGTCCAATTAATTTTTTGTTGAGTACTTCAGCCCATAAATTAAAGCCGAACTGACGTTGAAAGCTGTGTCGGCGAATAGCGTGTAGATCTTCCACGCTCCATGAATGGAAATTGAGCATGTTGAATATTTCGATTATTGTTGGATTTTTCTTTCCATAAGATGCTGCCGAAAAAAGTTTCATCCTCTTCGCACCTTCTCAACATATTTTCACAAAATTCAACCTGTTGTGCATAATCGCTTGGAAGCACTTCTTGTACTTTCTTTTTATTCTCCGAGCATAGTAAGCGATATGTTTCTGCTTCGGGCAATGGTTCTGGTGCTTATAGAGAGACCTCTCTCGGCTGCTTCTATCATATCTTCTATTTCTTGTGGGCGTATCCTCGCGCTCCTAGCTGACGATGAGTGCTTAGTATGCGGCCCTCCATATACACGTAGAAAAACGCGGTAGTAGGGATATACCGCCGGTTCTGGGGCACCTTTTCTAACCACATACTCCCGATACATACGAGCAGCTGCTCGAGCATTTTCTAGGGCAGCACCATAATAGTGATGCATTATCTGTATAATCTCATGGAGAATTTGACATGGTTCTCTCAGATGTCAAACGTTTAAACCTTGGCCACACGTACAAGCGTCACCACGGTCTCGCGCAAACCAAAAGTGCGGCTTGTGTGAAAGTCGCTCTGCTGAAAGTGTTACTTGAGCAAATCTCTTTATGCAGTTAAACTTGTAAGTGTGGACAGCGTGCAGGTAAAATGGCCGACTTACGTACCTGTTCTAAACAATTTATTACAGATTTTATTGACTTATATCGTTCATTATCATGGAAATAAAATCAAAATTCTATACTGATTGAAGTAAAAAAAATGAAGCATAAGTAAAATTAAAAGAGGTTTATCACCAGGGTATAGATTTCAACCTAAGTACGTTTTGTATACAGGTGTCGGTGTTTGTATCTGACTGTATTTATAGTTTTTTGCAACTTTTATTGAAATAAGGGTTTACCAGACAGTATAAAAATCCACTCAAACCAAACAATTCATCATTGGCACCATTGTTCAAAAATAATTGACCAGTATCGATCTCTTCGACGATTTTAACTACAATGAGGTTTGTGCAAACTTACTTGCATCGTGTGGCCATCCTGTGGTGTTCCATCTTTATCGCGCAAACTAGACCGTACAAGTAAGTCACTGTCGTGTGGGCCTTTAGATACAAATTCCGTGCTGGACCATTGTCTGACTTAGTAATTTCGGTCGGACCGAACTGAACGCTCCCGCACCTGGAATGCCTAGTTGAATGCCCAAGCTCATTAAGCTGATTTGGCTATTTGCGTAAAAAATCCGCTATTCAGATTTTAAAAAATGTTAATACACACAGTATCACTCACACTGCTAGGACGAATCAAACAGTACCTCATAGTAATTTGGACTGTAGCTCATAGAATAGAATTTTTTGTTTACATGTATAGATACCCACCTGCGTCCAACATTCATATTTTTTCAGGTGACGCACTTATCGTAGCAAGCTAAAATTGTTTAGGGTTTATTCTACATGGATTGAAATAGCTTTTACAATAAAATAAATAATGAAATACAATCTAATTTTTTTTACCGCGCTCCAAAGTTGAGGGATGGAAGAGATTTTTCACAAAAAAATGAATTTAAGAGTTTTTGCGTTGATTTCTAATAAGCTCTGTTAAGAAGTGACATAACCATTGCTAAAAGCTTATCTCAGAAAAAAAATCACATCCTTAAACCTAATAGTTCAGTTGTAATTGCGATTGAAAGTTCACTGTCCCGTTTTTTAGAAATTTTACAAAATTGCACATATCTCCTGAACTATAAAATTCCGGACCACACATATAGGGGTTCATTCGATAGGTTTTGTGGCCCTATGACACCTGACTTCCGTTTATTCACTACTAACTTCACACGCTGTATATCTATAATGAAAATACCGATTTTATGAATATTTATAAACATTTGCGGCCTGGATCATTCATAACGCGTCCGATTAGAGCAACACGTTTAATTATTTTGGTTTGGGGAATCGAATCCAAATTGTCGAGTTTTATTTTTAAACTCCGTGGTTTGTTGGTATAGACAGTACTGATGGTTGGAATTATCGAAGGTTTACGTGAGAGTTTATAAAAAAAACTCTGTGGCTTTAACAAGATAAAACTGCCGCTCACTCTTGAAGTAAGTAAGTCAATAGCTCTGTTAAAGGGGTTTTAGAGGACCACATAATTTGCTAATTTATCATCCGCATTCAACCCACTCAACCACGCCTGGGCTCTTCGTTTGTGCATATTTGAAGGAATATGTGCATATGAAGAGTCCAAAAAACAGTGGTTATTCAAAAGACAATACTTGTAATCAGATCATTATGCGTATCAGATAGAGAATGTCAATATTAATTCTGTGAGCAATATTAGGGACCTGGATGTTACACTAGATACGAAATGGAGCTTTAAAAGCCATATAGATGAAACCATAAATAAAACGAATAAGATGCTTGACTTCATTAGAAGAAACTCTAGATAATTCAACAACCCTGCTACACTGTGATCACTATATTATGTGTTTATACATAGTAACTTGTCTTTTGCCTCTATTTGGAACCCACAGTACGAAGTCTACATAAGGAGAATTAAGTCTGTCCATTATACATTCATGCGAATTCTGGCTTAAAATGCGAGTGAAATTGTTCATAATCACGATTATAGCTTGGTTGGAATATTTCATAATCTTACCTCTGATTAAGAGAAGGGTATTATCCTATTTATGTTTTCTCCGCAGAATCTTGAACAATCAAACTGACTGCTTTTAGCTTTAATCGAAAATCAATATGAATATACCGATAAGAGTGAATCCTAGACACTGTAAATACTTCATTATTTCGTTTTGTAGAACTAATATTGGTTTAAACTGTCCACTGGTACGAATGCAAAGAAATCTGAACAACTATGGTAAATTTGCTAACATTTTTGCTTGTGAAATGTTAAGTTCAAATACTTGATAAAAACAGAATGTTGGTCACTGTGGTTCTGTTTTATTTTTCTTCTTTACCGAATTGAATATTATACCATTTTATTTTCATATATGTAGATTATAAATAATAATGCTTATAACTAACTGTATTGTGGATGTCTATTTTGAAGATTTTCCCAGATTGATGTCCGTAATTTGTTAAATAAATAAATAAATAGGAGTCATAGCGTCCGAAATCTTGCTGAAATTTATGGAAAACTTTATAGAGGAACACGAATAGTTTGAGCAGAATGTGGTTACGTTTATAACTACTACCTACTATTTTAGAACAAATTCATTTTAATTGTCGCTCAAATAGCGTTAAACGATTTGAACGTCACTTGTATGAATATTTTTGAACCCATACGTAATTATGGATTTGCTGAGAACATACATCTAATTTCGAAAACATTTGAGAAATTTTGAAATAATTTTTAACAGCTCAAATTCAGAAAATATTGAAGAAGTTTACAAGTGCGATCTTAATGCTTAGTCTAAGAAATAATTAGCTACAAAAACCATCTTGTGACCTGTATGCCCTCTGCCCTGATGTGATCGTAGACCGCTTCGTCGATATCAGGATCATTGTAAATCGATACTTTGTGTCTTTGTCGTTTTTCGAGAGCCATGCAATAAGGAAAGGGCTCCACAAGGACTAGATTCTTTCCTGGGATGCCGAACATCAATAGTCCATTCAACGTGGTGTGTGCTTGTAGAAAGTGGCCGAATACTATGATGGTATCTGGAACGTTAAAATATTGTTATATTATATTAAGGATACAGTATGTCATGATAGTTTGCATTCGTTTTCGTAATGCTATAATGAGAGATAAGAAAAATGAACATACGTTTTCCTGGAAAAAACATTACTTGCGGATGGCCCTTCAGAGTTAACGTAGTTGAGGACGCTCGTCAACCTATTTGGTTATTTGGTTCCGATAATGGGCTGTGAAGGTACTTTTTGACTGTTAATGAAATATACCGATTTCCGTACGACCGGAATATATTTATAGGATGACCTGAATTGATGATCAAAGGTATTTATAACAATAATTTAGGATTTCCAACTAAAATTGAAATAATACCACACCTCACGAGGTTGTCTGTTAGTCTCTCTGCATAGTGGCAAGTACATACCTCCTTTATATCACGTCCTCATGAACTGCGATATGCATCATCTGTGTCACGTATAGCCTGTAATCTCTCATTTTCAAAAATAAAAAAGAAACTTGATCCTGATGGACTATTTAGGTTGGGATATCTCAGGACGAAATTATGAGAAGTATCGCAAAATAACCGTCGCGAAGAATGCAAAATTTCATAAAGGAAATCAACATCATTAAATAACGTTGAATGAAAAATAATCTAAGTGAATAAAACAATAATAATTAAAACATGTAGTGATAAGATTACCTTAACCTTATTCTATTTAAAAGAAACTTACAGTCTCGATCGCCATAGTTGGCATGCAGTTGTTTCAACTTCATAACAGCATTGTTGGCTTCGATAGCATTGTTGATGACGAAGACGTTATCTGGCTTCTCCACGAATGGAGTTCTGTTCTGCCTGATTGGTTGAAGAAACTGTTCTCCGTTCATCAGGAACAGCATATCATACGATATGAAACTATTGTTGTTAATCACCAGGATTTGATCTTGAAATTCATAGGTATATGATTAATATAAGATTGTTATCAAAACTCTGGTATTCGTTTAAATTATTTGTCGTTGGATTGACACCACTGCGTTGGAAGTTCAGAATTATACCGCTTGATGCTATTCTACTTCCTACGCGACTGGCGAGGAAGTATTCCATTAATCTCGAAACATTTTGAAAATGGGTTATCATGTTTTTTTGGATGCTATATTCCAGGTACCACATCACGAAAAAACATGTCACTCATTTCCCTCGGTCTGTCTGTCGCTAATCCTTGGCCCGGCTATGACTTGGACAGTAGATTTTGATGAATTTTTTACACGAGATTACTACTATGCCATGGACGAAAGAGCTTTGGCAGCGATGATCCAAACAAAGAAAAAGGTATAAATCGACCAAACTACGTTTTTTAACATTTCAGAAACTTTTTTGCACGGTTTAAGAATCAGGGGTTGTGGGCTGTATGGGTGAGGGAGGGTAGATCTCAGTTTTTTGGCTTTAGTATATTTATACGCTTCTAACCCACGTAATTCCACGTACTTATTAGGCATAAAGTCTGAAACATATGTGCAATTCTTCAATTCATTTGAAAACATTTTAGATAATGATGTGGATGTGATAATTATAGGAGATTTTAACCTACCATTTTACGTAACACAAGGCTGTGAAAATAGCAAGTTGTTGAATAATTTTACGAGTTTATACAATTTGCATCAGATTAATACTGTGCTTAATGTAAAATAAAGGCAACTTGATCTTATACTGTCAAATATGTCTATAGTTAACATAGAAAAATGTGAAGACCCACTTCTAGATGAGGATCCGCACCATCCTGCCCTGAATATGTTTATATTATTTAAAAATAAAACTAGTTATGTTTACAGTCAGCCTGAATATATCTATGATTACTCGAAAGGAGAATTTTATAAGTTATACAATCTGTTAGAAGATGTTGACTGGTCAGATCTTCAGAAATCTGAAGATGTGAATATATGTACTGACTTATTCTATGGAAAGCTTTATGGATGTTTAGACCAAGCGATACCCAAAAAAGCAGTGAATAGAGCCACGTATAATGGTGGCAATTATCCAATTTACTTTTCCGTGGCACTGAAGAAAAACATTAAATTAAAAACTCGGATTCACCGACAAATTAAGAACGGTAAAGCTAGCTTAGAGGTTAAACAAAAAATTACAGTAGCTTAAGAACCACAATCAAGCACCAAACTGCAAAAGAATGTCAGGCCTATTATGAGACAATTGAACATAATGTCAACAGTGACCCCAGCAGCTTTTGGGACTTCGTAAGGTGCAAGCGTGCAAAGCCTGGGATTCCTTCAGATGTTATGTATGAGGGTTGTGCCATTAGTGGCCCCAGGAGATCCGATACATTTGCATTGTATTTTGGATCAGTATTTTAACAGTCTGAAAAGCCAAATGCATAGCTTCATCTGGGGTGCCGCAAGGTAGTAACCTTGGTCCTTTGATATTCTGTATTTTTATTAACGACTCACCAAACTGCATAAACAGTTCAGAATACCTCCTGTATGCTGATGACTTTAAAATATTTAAGCCCATAACATCATCTAAGGATTGTCATGAACTACAGAAGGAATTAGAATTGGTATCCAATTGGTTTCACGAAAATAAGATGTGGTTAAATATCGATAAATGCCATCTTTTAACTCTTACACATAAAAAACAATACATAAATTTTACAAACACGATTGAAAATGTACAGCTAGGCAGAGAAAGCACATGCAAGGATCTTGGCGTCTACTTCCAAACAAACTTAACATTTATCCAGCATTATGAAAACATTGTGAATAAATCTTATAAACTCCTTGGATTCATAATTAGGCATACAAGACATTTCAAGGATAGAAATACAATAATAACTTTGTACAATACTCTAGAGAGACCTAATTTAGAATATGCATCAACTACGTATTTGGTCACCACAAACAATGCCATATCGAAATGATTGAGAGAGTGCAAAAGAGACTTCTCAGATATTTGTATTCTAAAAAATATATTATATATCCTTTTATCACCCCATATAAGAATATGTTGAATGAATTTAAAATGGTCGAATTAAGCGATAGACGAGTAGACCACGTTTGAGTGATGTTTTATTCCTCTACAATGTCACTAGCAACCTAAAGTATGAGAAATGTGACTTATATTAATATGTATTATTTGTAGTTCCTAAAGTTAAACTAAGAATAAGAAAAAACAAATTGTTCCAGTTTCAAAAGTTAAGTATCTCTCCTATAAATAGGATGATGTACGAATGTAACATTCTTATGCAACGGTGTGATTTAGACATCAGTAGGATAAATCAAGGCTGTGTTTCTAGACAGCACACTGCCTTGATGCCATTGGTATTATATACTATTTTAAATATAATATATATTTTATCTCTGTTTTGCATTTTAAACTGTTGTTTTGCCTTTGTAAGTTATTTTTTAGTAGGGGCTCCTCCATTTAAATATATTTGTATGTGTTTGTAGGAGGGTAAATAAATAAATAATTCACATATAAATTTCCTCGCACATTTGCTTTTAAGACTCAAAATAGAAATATTTCAACTCCGCTTGTGCCAAGTGCAAGAAAAAGCACTACATATAAAGTTTCCCATTTTTCTGAACACGATAAACTTAAAAACTACCCAACGAATTTTAAAACGGTTTTCACCAGTGGTTAGAGGGATTCATGAGGAAGCTTTAGATGTATAATTTATTGAAGTTTTTTTGTAAATGGACTGAAAGATGACGGATTTGTTAGCCAAGATATAAAAATTTGACCATAAAAATTCATTAACTGGCGTATGCTGAAAAGCCAACTAATGTTACATAAAAAAAGTACTACATATGAGCCTATTTGATTTACAAAAAAGTCCGCGTCGCTATGTGCATAATTATTACTTAACTCAAAATAGCCGATTGTCAGTCAAATTGGTCAACCACGTGTAAGTCAACTCTCGACAACACAGAGCGCTTGGGCAAAGAGCGAGCAACTTGTAAGTGGTAGAGTAGTTACAGTGACTGCTTTTTCGTGGTAGATCGGGGTTCGATCCCCATGGGAGGGGATTTCTTTTGTTTCTGGATGTGCTGTTTTGGGCATACAAAATCTATACTTGTGTTCCTTTTTACACATCATCCAGCACCGTCAAGGAGTATACGAGTATATGTTTATAATGGGTGATTTTTTTGCTAGTATCTTTTTGGCAACACTGTTTTTGACAAATGACGCGTGAATCGTGTCTTGTGTCATTGTCAAACTTGTTTAGTTTGGTCTATAATTTAACCGTGAATCGACTTACGAACGAACAACGCTTGCAAATTATTGAATTTTACTATCAAAATTCATGCTTGGTTAAGAGAGTGCATCGAGCACTGCTTCCAACTTATGGGCAATTTGGTCGGCCTACTGAGGGAGCTATTCGGAAGCTTGTGACTAAATTTCGAACCCAGTTTACATTATTGGACATTAAACCACCAACACGCAGACGTAGAGTGAGGACTGAAGAAAATATTGCGGCTGTATCCGCCAGTGTTAGTGATGACCGTGAAATGTCGATTCGCCGCCGTTCGCAGGAATTGGGCCTCTGTTACTCCACTACGTGGAAAATTTTGCGTCAGGATTTGGGTGTAAAAGTTTTTAAGATACAGCTGGTGCAAGAATTAAAGACACACGACCTCCCACAACGTTTCCAATTTGGTGAATGGGCGCTGGCAAAGTTGGAGGAAGATCCACATTTTTATCGAAAAATTGTGTTCAGCGACGAAGCTCATTTCTGGTTGAATGGGTACGTTAACAAGCAAAATTGCCGCACCTGGAGTGAAGACCAGCCAGAAGCATTGCAAGAGCTACCAATGCATCCCAAAAAAATCACTGTTTGGTGTGGATTATGGGCCGGTGGCATCATCGGGCCGTACTTCTTCAAAGACGACAATGGCCGGAACGTAACTGTGAATGGCGAGCGCTACCGTGCGATGATAACAAACTTTTTTTTGCCCAAAATGGAAGAGCTGGACTTGGCTGACATGTGGTTTCAACAAGATGGTGCCACATGCCACACCGCACACCAAACAATGGCCCTATTGAGAGGCGAGTTCGGTAACAGTTTATCTCACGTTTGGGGCCCGTCAATTGGCCTCCTAGATCGTGTGATTTAACGCCGTTGGACTATTTCTTGTGGGGCCATGTTAAGGCTAATGTCTACAGGGATAAACCAGCAACGATTGACGCACTGGAAGCCAATATTGAAGTATTTATTCGTGAGATACCGGCCGATATGTTGGAGACAGTGTGCCAAAATTGGACCTTGCGCATGGGCCATCTAAAGCGGAGCCGCGGCCAACATTTACATGAAATAATCTTTAAACATTAAATTATATCGACCGTTCTATCGTCTTAAATAAAGATTTAATCGTTTTTTCAAATTTTTTGTGTTTTTTTTTAAAATCAAATCCTATACCTCTTAAAAAATCACCCGTTATAACAGTGGCGAAGCGTGACTTTTTCTAAACTGTTATCAAAACCAGATGTGAATGATCTTGTTAAAAAACGTTTATTTTGAACCTACCAAAGTTTTTGCTTACTTTAGGTATTTTATTTAAACTTTTTTAATTAAAGTAAACATTGCTGAACTGGGCGTCTGGGGCACTTGATATACCTCATCGTCTTCTGCTATGACTAATCCAAGCCTTCCGAAAAAAAACAATTGACGTTTCTAGATGTTCGGAAAATTTTTGAGCTTTTTTGGCAATTAATGTTAACAACTCTCTGTAATTTCAACTATTGTCAGAGTCATCCCCTTCAAAATGACCCCGAAATGGTAATTCTTGCTTGGCCAAAAAACATACGGCATCTATAAGAGGGCTGCTTAAAAGCTTGGTTAAGACAACTTTCGATTCTTGTTTTGCCAAACTGAATCGAATTGGCTACACATCTCACATGTAACGGAGACATTTCATGTCTCCTCTTTAGAACCCTAAGACTATTTAAATCGTTGACTCCGCTGCTGGTTCACCCATTTTTTTCTGTAGAAAACAGAAGACATGGCCAACAATACAATCTGTTTTTCTTGCAGCCCCATAACCAAGAGTTTTCACTATACGAACTTAATTTAAAATATCGAATTACTTTTTTTATTTCTATTTAAAATTATGTAAAATAGGTGTTGGTCTTTATTTTCAATGATCTCCTTTTTTTTCTTCAAAATTATATAAGAAGAATGACTTTTTAAGTAGTTGATCGATCACGCAGTGACATTCATCTGTTTAATTGCACGCACACTACAGCCGGTAACCAAAACGGCTACTTACGGTAACAAAAATGGCTACGAACGAATGAGAAGTGAGTAACCAAAACAAAAAGTGGTAACAAGCCCACATAATAGTCGCAGCGGCCCACGCACTCTGGCGACCGCGATCAGACACGAGCCGGCACCGACGGTCCCCGACGGACTAACAAGTGTATCCATAAACGAAAATGGTAACAACCGACAACCAAGTCGAGGCGAGTCAGCTTCATCGCGTTCGCAAAATCTAGACATTATAGGGCGCATTATTTTCTTACGGCTAATTTGGCATTTACTGAAGTACTATTACATATTGCTGTTGGTAAACATATAAATGAAATTATTTCACAGTACTTAGTCATAAAATATTTATTTTCAAGATTTTTATCTGTTACCAATGGTAACAATGGTTACATGGACGCTTCGCCACTGTTATATATCTATTCTTTATGTTTTTAAATTTTTACCAGATCAGAAATAAAATATAAAAAAATTATCCAAGTAAAGAAGATTTAGATCGCAACATTGTCTAATGGATGGGGACTAATTGTATGACCCTATTTGACCGATTGAATCCATTTAGTTGGCTTGTTATACATGATCGTTCTTAACTTTTTCCCAACTTGTGCAGTACATGGTCTTTCATAAACTGATGGCAGCATTGCGTATGAGAGTCCTACCTGCTTGATGCCATTTTTTTGCAGACATTGTGTTACGACTCTGCTCAACCGAATCCATTTACTAATAAAATCCTTGAGACACATACAAAAAAAAATACATAACGTTGAAACAGTTTGACTAATAAACCAAATATTTTTGCAACATAGCCTACTAAGGCTACTTGCGTTAGTGTTAACAACATTCATCAATTAAGCATCTGCAAATGTACCAGGAGCGGAACATAGGGATCAACCATCGTATCTAGCCCCCCCCTCCAGCACAGTATCATTGTTCTGTTTACCTACTTTTCTTGTCTATCTTGGAAACCTTCCCAGATATGACGTTTACATATGTCTTCAAGCTAATCATATCCATATGTCGTGGATCCATGAAGTATTTCTTGATCAGAAATGCGTCCCTGATTCGGCTGCCTACTTTAGAAGCCGCCATACCGCTTGCACAAATCAGTGTTACGTTGTTGAAGGTTACCTATCGAAAAATCATGGAATCACAATGAACATATCTTATTGTCTTAGCCAACAAACGGTAATACAAAAGTAACTTCGAGGTATGGAATTTATGAAATGGAGTATATATAGTCTTGAGCACATGAGACAACTATTACATTTTGACTATTGTAATAACGATTTTGTGTTTTTTGGATGTTATATGACATGTACTTCACGAAAAACCATGTCCCTCATTTCAGCCGACCTTTCACTCACGGTAAAGATACTATCATACCTACCATATCATTTGGATCTTGTTTGCACAACAAAGTCTCCAGAAATGATAGTGCTGTATTACTACAACCTACGACCACTATTCTTGTATTTACTGCATGCCTATTGACGCTACAGTTCGGAACTGTTGATAGGTACAATGCAAATGGTTCTTGATCTTCGACGATTAATTTGCTTGGAGCACATTCTGAAAAAAATGACAAGATACTTAATATGTATTTATATGGCTAAAAGCTCAAATCTTAGGCCTTGGGTGGACGTGTGAGAGCTTTTCGAGTGGTGTTACCTGTTAAGCCTGTGGTCAGGTTGAAAATGTTCATTTCCCAAAAATATCTTTTGACTTTCTGCAGATAACTTGATATAAAGGAAATTTCTGCCTATCCTACCCTGTGTGCATATTTGGTTGGGTAGTAGACATTTCTTTCTACACGATTTCATCAGACGTTATTTGGAAGTAATATTGCAGGGTAGGACTTGCTGATAGAAAGAAGCTTGTGTACTGTGAAATCGGGGGTAAATCTACTTAATGTAATTTTCCATTTGACTTCACAAGAATTTCGTAATTATTCCTTGGAATTGGGATATATTGGCATATTTTAAACAATGCCAACTTTTAAAGTCGTTCTCAGGTCAAAAAGTTGTTGTTTTCTCGATTTTAAATAAACATATATATCAAACCCTCGCAATTCGTTATAGTGGGTACCGTTTATATTATATTTTTAGCTATCCAGTTATGTCATTGTGAAGAGGGAGCTTTACCTTCTTGTAAAAGTAAATCCATATCATAATCTGGCAACCTCCTAGGTGCTAATGGCAGCATAAATTGCAACAGATTCATTAACGGCCTTTCCCTGTATGCGTCAGTAGTATCGTATGGAGTGTGCCTGCAGAAAAAATGTAAACCATTTATAGAGATACAGCAAGGATGCTCAACTTTTTTTAAAATGGAGCCAAACAGAGAATTCAAACTTTTCCAACCAGTCACTGACGATGTATATTCTAGTTACTGTTAGAACTTGTGTGAAAAAATCGAAATATTTACATATTGCTATGTGAAATAATAACCCAAATAGGATCGTATGCTAAATAAAGAAACAAAATTGAACGAATATATCGTAAATTCAAGTCTAAGGTAGGTAAGGTATACAATCAGTGTGATTTCTAACATTGTTTCTGATTTAATTGACAGTAACAAGTCATAATCATGTTGCTCAGTTAATAATGTGCGCTATTTATTGTTTACTACTAAGACTTGAAAAACATATGTATGTTGATCCGAAACTACTTAAGAACTGCAAGCAGTAAAGTCAGTTATTGACTTAAAATCTTTTGGGACCCATTTCCATCAACAACGTCTTCAGAAGAATTGTGTGATTTCGAAGACACTTTTTCGGTAAAAAGATTTTTTAGCACATACAATATTTTGCAGTTCAGTAAGTTAAAACTTAATATTGGCAGGATAACTATTTTAGTCAAACTGGTTATTAAAGGATTAATAAAAATTCGAATATTTAGTTTTTTTACTGTCAAGGTCCTGAAATCTGCTTATTGAATTGACAATATTGAGCTTCTCTTTCAAATGATTTGGTGTGTGAAAAAAAGTCAGTATTTTCTGTGGGGTAAGTTCATTTAAAAGATATTTAATTTTGCTTGGAATTCACTTATCAATTGAACATAGTCGGAAGCGAACAATTTTTGCTTAGTAAGGGAAATCGATGGCGCAGAAGGTACGCGGCATGCAACACTTTTTCAGCTTTCAACCACAGCTTTGCTAATGACGGACTTTATATGCAGGAATTCAGAGTGAAAGGCCGATCTCTGCTTGGAGACGCAACAATTTTGTACAGTTGATTGTTTGAAAAACACAAGACCGTTGTAGTGTCCATTCGGCTCCGAAATTACAGTCATGCACAAATTCTAATAATCCCTTACAGATGCATAACTCAAATAACTTTGAAAAACCGGTTAAAATATTGATTGACCTATAATTTTCTAATTGCTCTGGATTACCTTTTTTAAAAATTGGTTTTATAACAGCTATTTTCAAATTCTCTGGGAATGATCCTTGTCTAAAAGCATTATTAATAAGTAAGCACAAAACATGTTTTAAAACTGAAATGTAAAGTTTTACTATTGTTGTTGGAACTTCATCTATATTCTATACCATAGCTGAATTTGTTTTTTATCCTCTTCGGCAGTTCACACACTTCATCAACACTCATAAACCGACCTAATTGAGTGACATCCTTTTCCGTGATGTTCATGTCATGTAATATCCAAAAACATGGTATCTCATGTTCGAAAAGTTTCGCGATTACAATACTTATTTTTGCTTTTTTGTTACTTATTTTTGACGTAGAAAGTAAAAGGAATACCCAAGTTTGTTTTATTGAATAAAACTCTTTATGCCAAAACATAATATGCTTGATACCATAGTAATGGTATTGATACTGGACTACTGAAGTTTTGTTTGTATCCCTACCTGTAGAATAGCACCGAAAAATCTCCGAGTGTGTGGAGTTCGCTCAGGAAGAGTTTGGAATGTCGTTGGAAGATGGGGTTTATGAGCAGTGTTTCGATAACGCCGTAGGAGTCCGATCTGTGGACGCGTGTATTTATGTATGATAGGTCGTAGTGAGCTTGTAGGTACAGTAGATCTGTCTCTTCGGAGAGGACTGGAAGAATTCCAAAATAAACTAAATTTGATCATGTCGCAGGCAATTATCTATTCGTGGCATGGCAGAATGATGGGAGTTGTCTGGCCGAATCAAAACCACATGTTTAGATTTATGTTTATTGTACGACGTTTCAACCACCAGTACTGAAGTACACGGCTCTGCTTCAACTGCTCGTGGTACGACATCCTCATAAGGAAAGCAAATGCTTTCTTCATCATGTGCTTGATTTGGGAACCATCCCTCTGAAAGTAAACGGTGCATTTACATTCACAAAAACTCGGTGATCGGGATTAAGAGCAGCATTTGGATACCTCCCACGATAAAGCCTAGCTGCAGCACTAGCATTGCATCTACACCCCCCATAAATGAGGTGCACGTTGGCGCATTCCTGTACAGTGTACACAAACATGGTGGCCCTACACAATCGGGAATTAATAGAAGTGGCGTTACTATAGTTGTAGTGACCGTTCTCGGCGGTTACGTCATCAACGCCATATGAAATAAGTAAACAGATCGAGTCTCCGTACCATGGGCACAGACTAATCTTCAGCGCATCTACTACTCTCTCCAGTACGCATGAAGTGGGTAGCAGGGGCCGCTGTTTTCTTTCTCTTCCTGGAAATACTCTAATAAATTTAGCATGAGCTGTCGGCCTCCTCCATTGATCGTATTTTCGGTCATTGTACAATTTTATGTTGAAGATTCATAACAGGACAATTTAAATTGCACGCCGATGTCAAGTAAGTTGTCACTCTGACGAAAATGAGTGAACGGCAAAGTTTTCGAGGCACACAACTAAAAAACACGTATGTCTTACCGAACAAATGTTCACACACAGGGGTAGGTTGCATGAGAGAGATGGAGATACATAAAGGGATACTGGTAGTCTTACTTTGACCCGGAAGGGAGACTACTTTATCTATCTTGCAGTCACTACGTAGAATGACACTCTCCCTCACTCTTTTAAAGAAAAAAATTGTAGTAATGGGAACTAAAAGATCAACACAGGGAGTAGGTTTTTCCAATTTTTTATGCCTATCATTTGCAAAGTACACGACTTAGATTTTTTTATATTATTCTGATAACTATTACGACTTGACGTATCCTCCGTTTCCGGCTTGACGTCGACTTCCGAGACACCCTATTTACGGTTTTGATTCGACCAGACAATGAAACCCTATGAATATGAAAACCTCATGATGAGTGTTAGGAGTTACAGTAGTCAAGCGTTGGTATACTTATGGTACTTGGCACAGTGTCTTTTCGGTGGTACCTCTAACCGCTGGATTAACTCCCACAAGATAATAGTAAGCTCTGCTTTATCGTCCATTGCTCAATAAATCATAAATACACTCAGCCAGTGCTCACTGTTTAATTAAAGCGAAAGAAATATTGTGTATGGAAAAGTTGTTTTGAACCTAAAACGTTTCGACCTGTGAGGGCCAGCCTAATGGCTTGTTGACTGGAGTGGGCCCTGGCGCCGGCATTCTAGGAACCAAAACATGGCTTTTACTGTCATATCGGAGATACGAAGTCTGTAAATCAAGTGAGGTGACTGATTTTTTTTTAATTTTCTTATACAAATATAATTACAATTGTATATTGTCGCCCTCAAAATAACTTCCTTCTGAAGCCACACAGCGCTGGAGACAGTTCTTCCACTCCTCATGCCAGTGCTGGAGCTACGATACTGGAATAGCCTTCAGCTGCTCGGTTACAGCCGTTCGAATGTTTTCGACTGTCTTTACATAATTTTTCAACTTCGAGAAGAGAAAAAAGTCACAAGGGCTCAAGCGAAATAAATATGCTAAGGAGCCACAGGAATGTTTTTACTGGCCAAAAACTCGTATATTGACATTGCTGTGTGACAAAGAGCATTATCGTGATGCAGGTGCTCTTGATCTGATGAACGGTGATGTGAGTCAAATTTAATTTTTCCGTGACCATTCTGATTGTCAACCGACAATCTGAACGCACAAAATTCCGAATTTTCACCGGTTCTTGACTATCTCTCCCTTCTGAAAATTCCTTAAACCACCGAAAAGCCTGGGCTCTTGACAAAACTCTATCTACGTAGGCCTGCTGAAGTTTAACAAGAGTTTCGGTTGCACTGATCTCAAGTGAATCAAAACCTGATAGCACACCGTTTCTCGAAATTTATGTCACTTACCGTCAGAACACAATCGGAAAAACTGTTTCACAAAAAGATCGCTACGGACACCCAAATACTTGAGCGAGTTCAAACTTATACTGAAGACGGATCACATGTTCCCCTGCCTGTCATCACTTAATTTACAGACCTCGTACATCATAGTACTCCCGACGGGAAATAAGATCATCTGCTCCGATAACCAGGTGGCGATCAAGGTATTAAGTGGCCACGAGATAACTAATGACCTTACTTCACAATGTAGGAAGTCCTCTAAGGTTTGGTTTATCAATTCTTAGTCAAAGTGTTAATCAACTGATCAATAGATAAAGATAAGCAGACCAGAGAATGTGTCTCAGTTATTAGAATTATATCCGCATTCCAAATACGTCTGGTTAGAATAAAAATCCTTACTGGCGAGTCCAATAACTTGTTCTTCACATAAGAAGACAAAAGGCAGGTATGGAGTAGCTGGATCTTTGATACTTTTTTCGAATTCTTGCAACACAAAGGAGTTATTCGGAATGGTGCTTATCAAGCGCTTCACTGCAGGAATGTGCTTACTGCTGCCTGCCTGAAAGTGTTAGTTATCTCGATGATAGATATAAGCCTCCAAATGAAAACTTATCAAGTATGTTAGAATTCTTGGATAATCTACTACCACAACTCATAAGCGAATATGACAATATACTGGTGTTGGGTGATTTTAATATTAACATGCTCGTGGAAAATAAAATAAATGGTTGTTTTGAAATATATGGTATGACCCAAATTATAAGTGAACCGACTAGAATAACAGAGAGAACTTCTACATTATTAGATCCTATATTTATAAGTTCTTCTACTTCATATGTTTCTAGTGGTACAATGAATGCTGATAGCTTTAGTGACCATCAGATGGTATATTGTGATGTTAAATGTTCAATCAAATGTGAACCAAAATTTGTAACATACAGAGACTTTAACAACATTAACTTAGAGGCATTTGATAATGACCTTTATCGGATAGACTGGGAAAGCATACTTTACTTCAGCGACATTGAAAGCAAAGTTGAGTTTTTGACATCAAACTTATTGTCACTTTTTGACTTGCACTGTCCTGAACGAACAGTACGAGTCACAAAGCCAAAAGCGCATTGGCGTACTGCAAACGTACAAATGTTATTCAGGGAAAGGGGTGAAGCTCTCTCCAAATATAAAATGGATCCATCAGAAGAAAACTGGAACAGCTATAAAAGCCTCAGAAATTACTGCTTGCTATCATTACGCAAAGAAAAATCAGCCTATTTGGAACATCTACATAAAAATAAAAACTCTAAATCTCTTTACAGATCATTGAAACAAATGCACATACAAAGTAATAAAGAGCCTCCGAACATTCCGGTCCACCTTTCCAATCCATATAAAGTGAATGATTACTTTACCTCAATTTTTAAGAATAGTGATGAACAATGTATTGACAAAATAATTCATTATCGTAACAACAGACATAGTTCTGAGAGGTTTTCTTTCAATTTAATTGACTTGACAAGCTTAGCATCTATAATCAGTCATTTTGATTCCAATGCATCTGGTAATGACGGAGTTACGTTGCGAATGTTAAAATTATGCTATCCCGCTATAAATCTTTATTTGTTGCATATTATCAATCTATGCTTAGAGAGAGGCTATTTTCCAAGCGCGTGGAAAACAGCAATGGTAAAACCACTCGCTAAAACCTCGAATCCTTTGTCATTTGACGACCTACGACCGATAAGTCTTTTGCCTCTTCTATCCAAAATACTGGAACGCGCAGCTTATATCCAGATTTACGAGTACTTGGACAAAAATAATATTATAAGTGTTCATCAATCGGGTTTTAAAAAAAATCATAGCACTACTACGGCTTTAGTGGACTTGATCGATGGCATAATTTCCGCGCTTGACAATAAAAACTTGTGTGCTCTTGTCCTTTTAGATTTCTCGAAAGCATTTGATACATTGAATCACAAACTGCTTGTAGCCAAATGTCATTACTATGGCTTTGATGATCTTGCTTGTAAGCTCATCAAGTCATATTTAAGTGATCGGTCGCAAGTGGCTGTGGTTGATGGTCAGATGTCTTTGCCAAATAAAGTTCAGTCCGGAGTACCTCAAGGCTCCGTATTAGCTCCATTGCTTTTTTTGTTATACACCGCGGATCTTCAAGATACTGTCAAGCACTGTCATGTGCAATTCTTTGCCGATGACACTCAGGTAAAGTATGATTTTCCAGCCTCACGCTACTCTGAAGCCCAAGACCAAATCAATGAAGATTTGTCAAGTATTAGCCGCTATTGCAAGTTACATTACCTCAAGCTCAACCCATCGAAGTGTAAAGCATTGCTATTTGGCAATATCAAAATAAGAGCAAATCTTATAAGCAAAATTAACGTTCAAATCGAAGGAGAAATCATCCCTTATTCAGAATGTGCCAAAAATTTGGGCTTACATTTAGATGAAGACCTGAGGTTCGAAAAACACTTACAGCACGTTTTGAGGCAATGTTACGGTTCGCTCCGGCTTCTATTTGCAAACAATTGCATCACTGGTAAGCAATTGAAAAAACAGCTATGTGAAAGCTTGGTATTGTCTAAGATTTCGTATGGGCTAATAATTTATTACCCCTGCCTAACTGCTGCGAATAAAAGACGTCTACAGATAATGCAAAATACCTGTAGTAGGTATATAAATAATTTGAGGAAATTTGATCATATATCGCATACGTATTCTGACCTCAATTGGTTAACTATAGATAATCTATACAAATATTCTGTTATAAGTTCTGTGCATCGTATTTTACTATCCGCATCACCCCCATACCTGTTTGAAAAATTTATTACCAGATCCAGCACGCATAATATTAACACAAGGCATCAGGCTTTCTTTCTACTGCCAGTCCATCGTACTGTTTTATATTCAAGAACCTTTATTTACAATGCCGTTAAATATTACAACAGTATTAATTTTCATTTTAAAAATATTGCGAATATTAAAACTTTTAAATTAAAATTGAAGTCCGATCTTCTCTCGCAAACATGAATTGCCACTTATATTTTTTTATTGGTTAATGATGGTTGATTTTAAAAAAAAATCCCTTTGATCACAGTTTTGTTGGTTTAAAACAAACCGATTTAAATGTATGTACCATAGTTATTGTCATCCACTTCTATGTAATTTCGTATAAATTATCAAAACGGGGTTAGGTGGAAGAATAGCTCACGCTAAACCTCGCCCCTCGTAATGTACTAAATGTTTAGTGCAATAAAGACCATTTATTATTATTATTATTATTATTATAAATGTGCTTTATTGTCTGATAAATACAATCGACAAAGCTAACTTAAAACTATACTAAGTATAACATAATTACATATGTGGATCTTGAGTAGGTGAATTGTAGAACTCAGACAAGGTATATGGTTCTTATATTAAACATTCTTAAGTTCACGGCTGAATATCTTTAAATTTTTAATTCCTTTGTTAGCATGAGGGAGGCGAGTAAATTTTCAGACCATTATACTCGTAAATTATGGAGCCTATACCATGCTGATGAGTAGCTAAGAAGCACGAAACAGCTGTCCATGGTTGGCTGTCTTTTCTTGGTCGGACAGACAGAGGCATTTCATTTTATTTTGACCTGTGCAATCATATTTGTTTAATTTTTTCAATAGTATATTGTAGCAATAACTTTGTCCTAGGCCTGACACATACGACTCTTTTCTCTGAGCTCGCTCATTTCTTTCATCTCTCTTCAGTGAGTCGTTCGTTCGGAGTCGTTCATTTGAACGATAGAATTACCGACCGACCTCGAAACTGGCGAGATTATTGTGTTGCCTATATTAACGACTGACTGAGTCAGAGAATATACATCATACTATGAAAATGAAATGAATTGTTAGGGTTGCCAATCTTATTGTATTTATTTATCAATATTTTTGGTAGAAATTGATTGTATACATTCTTCCGAAAAAAGAAGGAATATGTGGTTCGGTTTTGAGAAATTACCGAATTCTGAATCCAAATGCAATTTTTGCTCTCATTTCAACGTATAATTTAATGAGACATCTCAAAACAAAACAACCGGGTTCCCTAGATTGTGTCTGTTGTCAGTTCGCAGTTCAGTTGCTGGATACTGCAGACGTCTAGACACGCTTTGCACAATTAAACGAGTCATATGTACTCGTAATAAAAGAGTCGTTCAATCATCGCTCACATAGATGAGTCGTTCATTTTGAACGACTCGTTCGCGAACGACACATGACTACTTTGTCCCTGTGCCAACTTTTTTCATCACATCCACCATATTGCAAACGGTATTTCGGCATCTTGACTGGTTCAGAGATGTCTCATGGATTTTTATACTACCAGATGGCTTAAAATGACTTTATGAATTACCAAAATGCATAGCGATGTAAGTTTGAAACGCAAGAATGTAAGTTTACAGAAAATTGATTAAAAAAATGTGTAAAAGAAAAATTATACAAAATTGACGTTATAGCACGGATGCTACGTAAATCGAAATATGAAGATAGAAATCAAACGAGAGCTAGTTCACCTCACAGACTTACCACTACACGAACATGTCCTAGAACAGCACTTTTATGCAATGCATATAACTCGTACGGAAACACCCCCGTGCTCCGAGGTACTACTCTGGTGAAAAACTTAGTGAGTCGGTTGATAGGGGTGGTGGAAGGTACTGCCATTATGCAGTACTCTCGGTCCGGGAAGGTCTCGAACGCAGCTTCGAACAGCTGCATCAGACCCACTTCGTGGTCAGGATATGCGGCGGTTATTTCCAGACAGAACGCGTTCGGGTCCCCGTGGAACTCCGGAATGTGGCCGTACATGCCGCGAACTGAGGAGTCTGGAAATGATCATATACGAGTACTTACAATTACAAAGTACTTTAAAGAGTAGGTAAGTTCAACTAACGAAAATTGCAACAGAATTTCTTTATTGGTGTCGTAAGAATACTGGTTTGTAATGATACATCCAATGGTGTCATTATAGAGCTGGAGCTGGAGACGGAATAAAAATATTTTCGCGGGGCGCAACTTTGATGGGCTGTAACTTTTTTTGTAGAGATAAATTAATAAATTTTAACCATCTTGTTTCATTTTTCCTAAACTTTCAATTGAGCTAATAACAAAAAATGGAAAACTTGTCCATTGCACAGGGTGTTTCAGTAGTGCGCTAATTTCTTGAAGGACTGATTTTTTACAAATTGTACACTTACAAGCAGACATAGCGTCCTCGTTCAGTCTTGGATCCTTTTCTGCGGATAACATGTAATTTTTCAAAACCTCTTTACTACTTTCCACTGATTCGGTAGAATTATGTCTGCTTTTCGTCTCATCGTCCTATATAGGAAATAAATACACTTTGTAGAATAATTTGAAAAACATGTGGGGAGTACTGAGTCACTATTATGCAAAAACAGTCTTCACCACATTGATTGCTGCCTTTTTTCTAAATAGATCAGGCTAACTTGCTACAAACGGACCCAATTCTAGAAAAAAACGTATACAAGGAGTTCACAATGGATTTATATTTTTAAAGCTAAATGAAAGATCTTTTACCTAGAAATCCAAAAAAATTGCTAGGTAACGTTTTCATCTGCCGTCAAAGTTGAAAAAATCAGTCTTTCGCGTACGACGTCGACGGACAGCTCGTAAGAAATGACAATAGGTTTAAAAAAATTAGTGGCAGTTGTAAATTTTCAGAAAATGTCAGTTTTTTTGATTTTTGTGCCATTCAATAGCGTTTTTGGAATAAATAAATTGTGTCAAGTAGGTTATCTCTGCACTTCCTACGCAACGCCGTCACCAGTTTATAAAGGATTAAGTTCACCGCAATTTAAATCCTCTGAGAAAAAAGTCAGTTACGAACATGTACAACAGAGAAATTAAATGGATTAATCAGTCAAACAGGTCCATACAATTAGTCCATAGACATTCACCACTTCAGTAATATATTGAAAGCTACATATGCAAGCTTGAGGCTCCAATCGGTCTATCTCCAATTTCAAGACTTGGAAGAAATTAGTAGAGAGTTTGGTTATTTCTAAACTGCTTTACTGTTTCATCCTATTTTATCCTTGTCTTGACTCCGTAACAAAAACCAGAAAATTCAAAATTGTTGCTGTCGTTTCGTTTTCGGTCTGAGTAGGTAGAGCCGTGTTACATGCAAGATTTGTGAGTTGGGCTGGCTGAAGCTCAAAAATCGTTGTGAGCTTTTAATGTTGTATCAAAGATCGTTTACGTACAATGCCGTTCAGTTACACAATTCACTCAGTACATCCAACGAACAAAAACGTTTACCCTCCGGTTAGAAAACAGATGTAAGAGATGCAAACATCTCTCGATGCTTGAGTTATTGTTTTGTTATCCTTTAATTCTTATTCATTCGTTTATGTTTCTTATGTTACTCTTCTCTTTCTGGCTTGATATGCTTGTAAATAGTATAATTTCATAACTTTTATAATAACTTTTGTTATGCTTCGTCCATATTGTGGTTAAGTCAAAGAGTAGCCATCAAGCTAAACTTCGCCATGATATAGAAGATTACCAATAAAGTTACTTTATTATTTCCCTGTCCTACCGGTAGTAACAACGTTGGCCTTTCGCACATCTAAGCGGCATCGCTGTAGCGAGCTTTCGTTTATTTCATGCATGGTCCATGCATATGTTTTTTTGCTGTAGTACTGATAGATTAGTCAGCCGGGCCGGTTTGCGGGGCAGTGGGGTTAGACAACAGAAATTCGCGGATCGAAAACGTTTATCCATCATCAAGTTTTAAAGGCATACTTAAGTTCAAAAAATTTGCATATTTCGTCAAAATATAAGGGTACTTCTCAAGCTATAGACGGACCAAGAATTAGCGGACAGATAGTTAGACAGACTGACAGATGTACATACCGACGGAAATGAGTGACATGATTTTTCGTGATGCCTAAACTGCCCTAAACATTCTGTCAATGACATGTTACACATTACCTGAAAAAATAACAGAGACGCTGAAGTAAATACCAATGAGAAACTGTCAGATTCACTATAATCAACATGAATCAAAGTTTCGTCTAGTTCACTTGTCGAATTTTGTCCCTCAGCATTTGTTGTCCTCTCTATTATTTCCAGAATCCTGTAAACATTTTAATCCAGAATTTATTCATATGAATTAGAATTCATATGCATATTATACAGCCGAATTGTCAGTAATTGTTCAATGTCTGTGGAGTCATTCATCGCCCAGAATAATATTTGTATGGATCAAAGATAAAACCATATAATCAGTTTTATAACTTTCATTAAACTCTGATGTTTTGCTAATTTGCATTCACAGCAACTACATCGAAATGATGATCCTTAATAAAAACGAAACAATGCCGATTATGTCTGATAATGAGGGATAGAGCGTAAAGAATAATGTAGCAGTTTTATTGCAAATACAATCATAATTATTTCTATGTCTCAGACGTGATAAAAAACATCGCTTACTCATCCTCATATTTTGAATGTAGGTTCTCTAAGCTATGGAAGATAGCTTCCAGTGACACATCTGCTAAATCATCAGGGTGAGGCTTTTTCAAGCCGTTGTAACAGGCCAATTCAAATTCTTCATTGAGGACCTGAAAAACTGTTTCATTTTTGCTCTAATTACATTCATAGTTAATAATTAAGATCTGCGATGATATCCAATTCCTAGTATATCAGCGACATCCTGGTGACTTAAATTCCAGAGAAGATAAAATATAGCTATGATTAAGCCTAATTGGCCTAATTTGTAAAAATAGTGGAAGTGTTAGTCTTTTTACAATGTATTCTAAAAATGGTGGGAGTGCGACAAATCAGGTTCGTTTTTTGACCTTCAATGAACCGTAGCAATTGGCGTCCATATATCAAAATTCAAGGGATGGCACTTTGGTTGCCCCAGAGTTTATGTTCAGTAAGTTTTTGGTGTAGGGGGTTATATATTTTACTTTTCAAGCGGAAGCCAGAGGGACATGTCCTTCACAAACGGGCGCCCATGATCATGGCGAATGCATTATTACTGCTAATGGAATGGCCAGTCTCTCAGATGCATAAATCATTTAATAAAAGACACGTAACCTCTGAACTACACAGTATTATTCAACGAAATTTTGTCTGCATAATAACCAGTGGGAGCCTGCCGTTACGGCGTCCATAGAAAACAACTAACTCATTTAGATTGGCAGGGATGCACTAACCTTAACATAATATTGCCAATTTCTTCAAAGTCCTGTATAGTAACGACTTAATAATACTATTTTTGGAAAAACAATCTTGTTTCGGTACAGTTTTATCAAGTACCACAATACACTACTAGTTCCGCAATTTTGAAAATATCGTCATTCTGATTACAGATTTGTTTATTATACCGAAATTAAGAAGGCTTAGGCAAATATCATTTACGAGCCAGAGATAAGCTCAAAAATGGTTTGGATTAGAAGCATATACAAAGCACGCCTCTCGTTACTGGACCACAGAGTCACCTAGAGTCGTATTATGTTGGTTACAATGATTTTGCTTTGATTGATAAAGTATCGTCTACCTTGTAACAGACAGATTCGTTCAAACACAGCACTGCAACAGCGTTACCCTCATGTTCTGCTACTATTATTTGTCTACCGCTGTCCTTATATCTGGTTAGGATTTCAGCTATGTAATAACGGCCGTACATTTCTTCTAATCTCAATGAGTGGGTGTTTATCAAAGGTACTAGATCGTCGTTATCTTCTTCCACAGCTCTTCGTATTTTGTACTTCTGTATGAAATCTTCACGGTTGAATACGTACAATCTCTGAGCATTCTTACTTGTTTCCTCTACGAGATGTTAAAAGATTTTTAAATATTAATTTGAGAACTCATTTTCATTATATTACTATAAACACTATTCAGCTAACAGGCGCTGCAAGCATTGATCTACGAATTCTCCAACAAAATGCCTAATCACATCCTGTATTTCCTACTTCTCTTACAATTTCAATCGCCACGGCTATGTTGCCAAGTTAAATCGAAGCAATTTCCTTAGAAACAATAAAAGCAGACTCCAGCATTTAAAAAAAGATCACCCCTTGCTCTCCCTCGTAGTTATTACAATTTCGTATTCTTAACGACGGAAAAGAAAATCCCCTAACCTGCGGCAAAAATCCGAAAGGTGCCAACGCTGATACCTAAAGACGATGGTTCAGTAGGGAATATGTATGCGATTCAAATATCGCAAAATTATTCTTATTTACATTCTATATTGCAACAAATATCGCCTTCAATCTTACTTCATACTTGAGCGCTTTAAATGCATGAGTAAGAATTCATAAAAAATAGAATACAGTGCAGGAAATTTAAAATGTCGAAACGCAACGCTATTGGCGTGATGTCACCATTGGCGACCCGTGACCAGCCAACCCTAAAAGTGGCTACAGACACAACTGCAAGCTTGTCTAACATGCTTATTCAATCTTTTTGTACAAGTATGCACAATTTGCCTGTGGCACCACACGTACAAGCATGCTTAATAAAAATAGAGGTAGTTTAATAAAATATGTCGAGCTCGGACGACGATGCGCTCGCTTTGGCCGCTTTTGCTCTTGTGAAGGAAAGACAATACCGAATAAAAAAGCGTGCGGTGTGGTGTAAATAATGGTTGCTGAAAAGGAAGACCTATTCTCACATTAACTTACTAAGTGAGCTCAAAATATATCCGCGTGACTGGCACAATTATCTTAGAATGGATCTCTCAGACGTCAAAGGTTGAAATACGTCTCTTCAGACGTATTTCAACCTTTTGTCTCTTGTATCACCTTTGATTCAAAAGCCGGCTATGATCATCAACGGACGCCAACTTGTGCAAGCTTGAACATCTTGAGTACACACACACCGTTTTGCTTGCACAAGCGCGCCTAATTCAATCATGCATAATCAAAATCAATTCAATCCTCAAGCTGCTTGTATAATTACAAAGCTTGCACCACATTTCCTTAGGGTGGCTACAGACACAACTGCAAGCTTGTCCAGCATGCTTGTTCAATATTCTTGTACAAGAATGCTTGAATGTCTGTAGGGAAATGTGGTGCAACCTTTGTAATTGTACAAGCAGCTTGAGGATTGACTTGATTTTAATTATGCATGCTTGAATTAACCGCGCTTGCGCAAGCAAAACGGTACGTGTGTACCCAAGATTTTCAAGCTTGCACAAGGTGGCGTCCGTTGTGTTGTGCTGAAATTGTCGTGACTGGTTGTCCCTAGATAGCACTTTACTAGAGATCTTAAAAAGGTTAACCGTGAAGATTTTATTCGAGAATACCAAAATTCAGCTATGTCTTTGGCACGTTAAATCCAAAGATTATCATAACAAAGCACAGAGGGATGCAGCGTACTGGATATTATTACCAAAATATGGGTTAAGTCACCATTCTAAGATAATTGTGCCAGTCACGCGGATATATTTTCTGATCACTTAGTAAGTTGATGTGAGAAAAGGTTTTCCTTTTCATCAACCATTCTTTACACCACACCTCAAGCTTTTTTATTCGGCTTCTTGCTTTTCTTCACAAGAATAAAAGCGGTCAAAGCGAGCGCATCGTCGTCCGAGCTCGACATATTTTATTAAACTACCTCTATTTTTATCAAGCAAGCTTGTACGAGTGGTGCCAAAGGCAAATTGTGCATACTTATACAAATAGATTTAATAAGCATGCTGGACAAGCTTACAGTTGTGTCTGTAGCCACCTTTAGTTGGTTGTTCAGTCCAATTTAAAATGGCAGACCCTTGTTCTCACTGTCAGTGATTGTCAACCTGAGAGTTTGATGTTCCAGCATTTGAATTGTAATTTGTAGTAATAAACATAACCTATAAATACTGTGTAACCATATTTCACGAGTATCCATCAGGTTTTGACGTCTACTGAGGTGAAACAGTTGACCAGCAAGTGTCATCTTTGTATTAGTCTCCAATGTTGGCAATAATGAATCGGGTCTAAATCAAGTTAAACTTGATTGTTGCGTTTTTTTTCTATGAAAATGAACTTTTCTAGGTAAGAGTTGTTAGTAAGTACAAAATGAATCTCTATCATACAAAAAACTAAAACAAAATTTGTCGACATAGGGAGTTTTAAAATATTACTAGATAATCAGCTGTTATTCTACCGTAATGGATACTAGTCCAAAAGATAATGTGTCAAAAACTCGACTTTATCATAATCAAAAATAGTCAAATGACAAATTATGATAGTTAGGACGTGACTGCGAAGTGCGCCAAATTTGCGGGGCTTAAGTCAACGTCATCAGCATTGCATTTTTAAATATTTAATTAAAAATAAATGTAGGCATCTCCATGAATGAAATATGTGTTTACGGTATTATATTTACCTGAACAATTGTCACAAAATACAATAAGTCATGCATAGTCCCTATTGGGTTGGATATGTCAATGAATTATGTAGGTTAGTTTGAATGTCAACACTGATTCGGCGCTGCCTGTTCAGCGGTATGTGATTAGATAACGCGGAAACCGCCACGGGTATTACGTATCTTGAAAAGCGGCATTTCGTCCGTTCTTTGGCGTCTTTTTTTTACATAATACTCGTGCCGGACTCGAATTTCATCGTACTCATGGTCAGCGAATGAGTTTGGCTTTTTTTAGTTTCCCTTAATCTCAACGGGCGTGTACCTCTAGAAGGGCTTTTGGTCTTTCTGTTGAATCCAAACAAGTCTTTTGTTAATGCAGATTTCGGTCTTTTGAAGAAATCTTTTGCCTCCAATACCTCAGTTTTGATCACTCTTTTACTTTAGGCCCATATCGTCAGTCGTTCCTACAATTGTAGGACGCCTTTATGGCCTCCTTGATTTTCATAGTATTTTCTCTGCTTCAGAAAGGCTGGGATATTTTTACATTTCTACTATTCCGTGATGGTGACAGCGCTCTCCTATTGTGAGGCTATATTTTTTTTGAATTGTAGGACATGTCAGGCTGATATAACAGATGATATAAATCAAAAGCATGAAAAATTTGATGCAAATAGATATTTGTAGCATAACCTCAAAACAGAGCGCTGATACGGAACCGTAGAAAACTATGAAAATCAAGGAGGTCTAAAGACGTCCTACAATAATTGTAGCAACGACAGACGATACGGCCTTTAGATTATATTTTCTCGCAATTGTACTAACCTTTTGGCGTTACTACTGTTCCGAGGTCACTGAGAATATCGGTTCTGTACTTTCCTGGTGGCTGAACCAATATAAGATATTGCAGGAAAACTCTTTGCTGGAAAATGTAGTCTACCAGTGGCTTCAAAAAGAACAAACTATAACAAAAAATGGTTAGTGAGCCTGATTGCAGTAGCACAACTAGAAAGGAAGTCAGATCTTATAGAATTTGATTCAAGGTTTGTTCGTACAGTAGTCGGTCGTGAGAATTCCGTCTATATAGCGTAGCAGAGTGAACGGAATTTATGTGGCGGGATCTTGGACACGGTCACTGACAGGTTAGCGACTGCTGTACGGACAGGACTTTAGTAAACTCTGTAATTCAATTAAGGTTAGCTAGTGCACACTGGAGGATAGCAGGGGTGAAGATTCAAGAGACCGCGAGCATGCCGACACGATTTTATAGGGTGTTTACCAATGCCAGGACCAAAAAATCCTACTATAGCAGCAATGTCATATTTTGCTACCGCTATGCTGCGCTAGTGTATTTGGAGCTGAAACTATAAGGGTACAAGAGCTCTGAACGTTCTGCTACCTCAGCAAAGGCCAAAAGAAACTCCTTTTATATGTGAGTAAAGTTCTATAACAAACTTCCTACTTATTTAAAAGTGACGGGAGATAGAGGATATTAAAAGGAAAACTGAAACGGGTTTTAGTTCAGTTGGAACCATACCGCATTGCTAAATACATGCATGCTTCGTTTTCGTTTTTGCATGGTATGACGTTAGTTCCCCATCTATGTCATTTGTACATATTACGTATTTGTGATTTTAGATTTGGAATAAAGATTATTATTACTATTATCAAAAGTAGAGGCAACCTAGTTTTCATGATACTTCATCACTTCTGTACGTCTACTCGTATTGACGTGGCAGACGATCAGCAATTGACATCTTTGTCTGTTTATGATCATAGACATGACTTCCAACCTAGCTTTCCAGGTTGCCCCCTATTATCGAATCCTGAGAAGATTTCATCTTAGGAAAATATTCCATTGAAGCTCTAGCCACAGTTTTCATACAAACAGTTTCGCATCTGTCTGGCGGTTTCTCTAATCTTGGTCTCACCTACTACTGGCAACTATACTACCTATTACACTTATTTTCCGACATGCAGGAAACTTTTTATGTGGCGAGGGAGGCAAATATTGTACGCAAAATCATACGATATGACAGGAACTTCTACATACTTATTTGTGCCAAAAAAAGGCATTGAAGTTATTTTTTCACTACTTTAGCCCAGACAATTGCATTGTTATAGGTAGGGTAGACCCGCCTAAGAGTACGCGTTCCGTAAGAGTACGCAAACGCCATTTTGGCAATCTGGCAACAGCCCAGTGTAAAACAAATATGGTGACATATGCCCATGTTTAGTCAGGTTGCTATGGTAGATTTGTATTTCAAGTAACTTTTGTGTTATTTTAATAACGGTAAGTACATGAAAATATCAAATTTCACTGTAATTTTTCATTATAAGAATATAAGCTTTGAAAAATATGTGAAGTATTCAATTTCTCTGATAAATTTTTTGTTGTAATGTTTTCTTATTAAGGTATGCAACCACACAAACTCATGTCAATATTTCGTTGTTTCGATTTTATTTAGGGTGATGAAAGTAGTTTGTCACTGTGGGGTATGTAGCAAAGAGTTCGCGCGTACTCTTTGTCACATCGTCACTGTTGATACATATTACTTAGAATATTATGTAGTGGATCCTTTTTTTGAAATCATTATTCGAATCTACCTACTTTTTATAGTAGTCTGTATAGGCTCTAAATTTTGATACTTACAGGAGTTATTAAAATGAGCAAATACCAAAGATAATTTACCAGAACTCTAAAATTCACCCAAGACTTACTGAATGAGGTCAAGAAAAGAATAAATAGAGGAGAGAGAAAACGTTCCGTAGCAGCCTCGCTAGGAGTAAATTAATGTTCTCTGAGCAAGCGTTTGAAAGCAGGAAGCGTTCAAGTAACTTTGGGAAGATTCAAACCCGTATTTACCAGCATTCAGGAAAAAGAGTTAGCCAACCATATTAGAGACTTGGATAATAGAATGTATGGGTGAAGGCCACTTAAGACTGCGTTTGCATCTGAGAGTGACAAGTGAATGTTTTGAAACTCTGGCAAGCCAATTACGCTGAGGCAAATGTCCGCATTATTTCATTCAGCATATTCTAGAATTGCAACACTGCAAATTTGTGAAAAGACTTTTGCCACTACCTGAATCTACCCCTTCAACCCCAAAGTATTTAGTGAGGATGACTGCTCCTTCGGAAGTTACGGATAGGTCATTAAAAGATGGCCAGGATTTGCCTGAACATGTAGAAATGGATCTTGATGAAGAAGACGATGTGCCCCTTTCTCTTCTTCGTGTCAGTCTTTGCAGTGCAAGGACACCCGATAAAGGGATAACCGAATGTAGAGACAAAACTGACACATTTTCTAGTATCTCTGGTATTAGCACAAAAAAGATAATTCCGTTTTATTTAGAAAAAGATTACGCTGTCCCTGGTACCTCTGCTGTGACCCCTTAAGAAATTATTCCGTTTCCTCAAGCAAAACAAACAAACGACACAACTAGGAAACGCAATTCCAAAAAAAAGTCAGGTTTTATCTTCGACATAAATCATTCCTAGAAGAAAATATGTTACAAAAGGACAAAAAAATATTTAAAAGAAAAGCCTTTGATGAAACAACTAAAGATGAAAGAAATAATTCAAATTATCCAACAAAGTGCGAATCTATGGGTAAAAACAAAATGAAGAAAATAGAAGAAAAAGCTGATGAAGAAGATCCAGTTTGCCCTGGGTGTAACCTATTCCACATCCTTCAATTCACATTGGGTTAGGTGTCTCATGTGCAATAACTGGTGGCACGAGGACTGTTCGTCGTATTTTGGTCAAAACCACTTTATTTGTGACTTTTGCGAAAAATGAGTTTTACGAATTTTCTTGTATTTTGGTATGGGTACTCTTGGGACGCTAAATGCGTACTCCTTAAATCATATATGCCTAAGAGTACGCATTTTCACTTAGGAATAATTTATTCTTTTACTCTTTGCAAAAACGTTAAAATGTATGTTCTAGTATATATTTTGCTAGCCTACAGGTTAGTTGTTAAGTTGGTATGACATTTTTAAAATAATCTCCAAGTAGTTCCGTTTTATTACACAATCAAAATTAAGTGCGTACTCTTACGCGGGTCTACTCTACTTTCCTCTTCGTCTAACAACAAGCATCCTCAAGTCCTGCCTAATTTATACATTCTATATTACATATAACGTATTGTTTCAGTAAGACATAATTCCTGACTACGTATATTCATTTATGTAATGTCGTAAGGCATAGCGATTTTCAAAGTTAAATGGACCCTAGTCATATCACTAAATACCAGAGGCATTATGTTTCCGATATTAAGTACAGGTTATATTAAATAATACTAAATTGCCTTTCATAATTTCTGAGAAAAATAGTTCCAAAAGACAATATACATTCGTTTTATTGTTTAATCTACGTTTTTAAAACCATTGCTTGCTTTGGATGTCACAGTGACAGTGATCGAAATCCTACCAAATCCAACGAACCAGATTTTAACAAGCTTTCGCCCCATAGTCCTTTATGCTATAGCAGTGACATATTGAGCATATTTAGGTTGTCGAATACAGTAGGCAATGATGTTGAGATATTTTCCTCATAAGAAAATTTCCTCAGGATTCGAGAATTGGAATTTATGAAAGTAGAACATTTCTCAATTTTAGTCTAGGGGCGTAGTTACCGCCATATCAGCCGTATCAGCTTACCAGCTTACAGAAGCCCCACGTACGAAAAAAAATGGGTAAAGTGTTTTTCACAATGTCACGCAAGTTTTAAGGTCATAGGCGGTAAATCTTAGATTGTAGGGCTAGGTGATAGTAACCATGTTTCTTGTTTTTAACCCTCTAGATTACAACTGCAACAGCTAAAAGAACTTAACTTAAAAGTTATTGAAATATCTTAGGACATCTTGGATAAAAAAAAATTGAAAAAAGAGTGGCAATTAGATTATCTCGGTACTTCCTAAGCATTCACCTAGTCCTATTTTAAAAGTTTCCATGAGTCAAGATAAGTGTTGCTGAAAAAACAAAATGTTTGAGCCCCATAGTGTTTATGAATATGGCCTAACCTGAAGCAATCAGAATTAATGTGAGCAAATTTTCGAAATTTTAAAAAAATGTAAGCTCTCCGAAAAGATGTTTGATTGCAATTAAAAATTTTCAGGAAGTTATAAAGCATACAAAAATAATTTTAGGATGATCTGAAAGATATTTCAATTTTTACTCATAACACCGTTGCCATTTAAACTCTCGTACCTACTATGCCCTCACATGGATTATTATATATCGCAAAACAAAAAATATCTGAATTTATAAAATTTTCACATTCACAAAATCTATACTTCAAATTTTAGTTGGGTGGGGCCACCAAACAACTTTTGATTGGGGCCCCTGAGGAGCAAGCTACGCCACTGTTTTATGCCCACTTTACTGCATAATACATGATCATATCTTGGATGTAATGTAATTCTACTGATGACACCACGCCCTGTCCATGATGGGTGATGTCGGCATAACACTGTACAAACGTGGTAATGGTATCTCATACACCATGGAGGTTTGAATGAATGAAGGGAAACAGAGCATATGTCATTCTTTTTGTTAATTTTCATAAAAGTTATAGGGATCTAATTGCTACACTAAATAGATTAGGCGATCAAACTAACCTGTACATTGAGTCGTACATCAACAAATGTACCCACAGTGTGTTTCTACTGCAAGAATCTTCCATGCCGTAGATATCCCTGATCCATGACTTCCATTCCCATAGAGGCAGAGCCTTTATATTTGGATAGGTGTTCACTACTATGACGCCTACAATGTTGTTTGTTGGATCTTTTAGGCCTAACGCCATGTAGCTTTTAGCCCTTGTGAATAAAGAGACATCGATATGACCAGTACATATAGTATAGCGAATGATATGATCTGATACCAAAACGGAAGAGAGTAGTGTAACACACATCGAACTACTAACGCGGCATTTCATTTAATATCGTAATAAAATGGTTGTCATTTAAAATAACGTACTGGTCGGCAGGATAAGTTGAATCTTTTTCAAAACTAAATCATGAAATCAGTCTTCTTCTGGGAGGGTCTATCTGAATGTGCAATAAAATATGAGACAGGTGATGGCAATTGCTTTCTAAATGGAATGTTCCACATTTTATCATATATTCGATTAGAATCTTAAAATATAATAAGATTGCATAACAGACTCTATTTTTATGATTGGTTCTTGATTTCGATTCAGCGCTTCTATGTATAATAAAATACTCTTAAATTCTGACAGCCGGCTAGTTCACCATTTTGGAAGATAGCAATGTCATGTTCTATAGTTTTAATACTCATAAGGTGTTTCAAAATGAGGTATTCCGTCACACCACAATTTAAAAACATTTTCAAACATGGCCTCCAGCCGCTTTCTTGAAATTTTCAACTGCTACTTTCATGCAAAAATATTGTGTTTATACAACAATTTCATCACTTCAAATTCCAGCTTGTTCACCTGACTTGTCCAAAAATTAATTCTATTTGAAGAGCACTGTATACAATGTTGTCAGGAAATTATAACGCAAATTCATTAAAATATAAAAAGAAGTTCGTATAAACATAGTTCGAAAAAAGCATGTTCATTTCTCGAAACTGAAATATCGAAACAAGTTTTGGTACACAAAAATGTACTATCCAAAGGTCACAATACCATGTTAAAATGTTAGGTCAGTGTGGAAAGGAAACATTGGGATACCGGGAAGCCGTTTTGTTGATCTGATTTTCGAATTTTCCAAGGTTCATAGAACTCCAGAAAACATTTTCTTACAAAATGTCTCACATTCTCTATACACCGTCATTGATGAAATGGTTTCACCTGCCGCTTCTCGATATACAGTGCTCGACTGAGTAAGAATTAAGAATAAGGAGCAGTAGCCTGGCAAATTCTTTTAACAGTCCTAATAGAGAGGAACTCAAAGGAGCTGGATTTGTACAAAGTTCTCATAATCTTTCACTCTCTGCTATTTTACTTACAATAATTCTTCAATGTTAATTTGGCCGAACATCGGTACTACAGCAGCTTTGTTATACAGTCTTTTCAGTGGTTCGGTCTGGTTGGGCTTGATAGTTACAACATCCTGTGGAGTTAGCATAGCAATACTCCTTTGGAGTATCGACTTCCGTACCTGGGCAAAGGATCCCCTAGGGTCTGAAGCTCTTGTACTCCCTACGAAAGACATATTTTTTTTAGTATTTCAAAAATGCATACAAGTAACAATAAATTGATGTGCTTGACAAACACTGTCACGTATTAAAAGACAGGGTGGCAGCTTTTGAAGGTCTTCGGCTATTAGTGGAGAAATAGTGTAGACCCTAACATTTGCTACTAAAGTTGTAGTCACCGTTCTTGGCGGTTATGTCATCAGCGCCATATGAAATAAATAAACAGATCGAGTCTCCGTACCATGGGCGCAGACTAATCTTCAGCGCATCTGCTACTCTCTCCAGTACGCATGAAGTGGGTAACAGGGGACCGCTGTTATTCATTCTCTACCTGGAAATACTCTAATAAACTTAGCACGAGCTGTCGGTCTTCTCCATTGATCGCATTTCCGGGCATTGTACAATTTTATTGAACGCCGATGTCAAGTAAGTTGTCACTCTGACAAATATGATTGAAGGGCACTCATACGTCACGTCAAAGTTTTCGAGACGAAGACACACAACTAAAAAACGTATGTCGTTGAGCTTACCGAACAAACGTTCACACACAGGGCTAGGTTGCATGTGTATGTATGAGGGAGATGGAGATATATAGGGTGTCCCGAAAAAAGTGTGCAATATTCTACCAGCCGTTTCTAGAGCTTAAAATAGGAAGAAAAGTTTATATAAACATAGGTCGACAAACGCCCCCTAAGGGCGCTACGGTCTTTTAAAGAGGGTTTTTCCTTAATATTTCCGAAACGTGTTGAGATAAAGACATAAAATTTGGTATTCTAGCCTAGTTTTTTGTGCTGGATTTAAAAATATTAACAATTTTAGACAGTTTTGTTTGGAAGCGTATGTAACAGGGACCGACTCAGGTTATTTTAGACCCAAACTTTTTGTGTGATTCTATTTTTGAAATTCAATTTTAGAATTTGAAAATTTAGGGTTGACTACATAAAAAAGGTACTCTTATTGAATATCGATAAATTGTGCCATTTTTGAATAAAATCAAACTAAAAAATTTGTTACATGATAGGAAATGTACTGCCAATTTAAATGAATTGTTGATTATATATGGTTAGCCATGACTGCAAACAAAAGTTGTTTCGATTTGTTATGACTTATTTTGACGTTAAGCTGACATTGTTACTAGATTAAAATCAAAATTTTTATTAAATCGATTTAAAATGCCAAGATTTACAGACAGAGAACTGACTGACATGCATTTTGTGTACGGGTTTTGCAATAGCAATTCATTGGCAGCCGTAAGCGAATATCAAAGATTTCCCAATCGCATAGTACCTGGACGTCGAATGTTTACTGATATTCACCGGAATTTGTCAAACCATGGAAGTTTTCAGTGCATGCAGGGCTCAGGAAGGCCACTGGAAAATCGTCATATGGATATTGCTTTAAATATGTTTGAAAATAATCCGCAAATAAACATACAAAATGTTTCAGAAATTATGGATATACCTGGATCAGTAAGAAAAATTTATGAATACCTATTTGATCGTTATCCTAAAAATAATAATTTTAGATAGGAAGAATGACAAGAATGCAAGGATTACATCCTTATCATTTTAAACGGGTGCAGCATGTACCGGAGGCAGATTTTTTACCACGAATCGAGTTTTGCCAGTGGATATTAGCAAATGAAAACACTATTCCTAGAATATTATAGTCGGATGAGTCAATATTTACCAGGAATGGTGCTTTAAATTTCCATAACATGCATCATTGGTCAGATGAAAATCCAAAAGTTGATCGCCGTACAAATTTCCAACATAGATTTTCGTTGAACTTATGGGCAGGAGTAATTGTGGATCAAGTAATTGGGCCTATTGTACTTCCCAATCGTCTTAATAGAGGTGTAGCTGAACTTTCTTCATAATGAACTCATGGATATAATACCATTGGATGTGCGCCAGCAGTTTCAAGAAAATATGTTTTTTCAACATGATGGCGCCCCTGCACATTTTGGACGCAATGTTCGAAATTGGTTGAATGTCAATTTCACAGACAGGTAAGTAGGCCGAGGAGGTCCTACAGCGTGGCTGCCACATTCACCTGACCTAAATCCATTGGATTTCTATTTTTGGGGGTCATTAAAAGACCTAGTTTACTCGACTGAAGTAAATACTCAAGAAGATTTACTTCAAAGAATCCATTAGGCTGCAAATGAAATAAAAAGAAAAAGGTTTTCCACTTTTCCGGCTACGCACTAATTAGTTCGTCGAGCGAGACTCTGTATCCAACATAATGGGAATTTATTTGAACACTTATTGTAAAGCTAGTTTTAAGTATATCTTCTTTTTTAAAGAAATTTCAATTTCGTTCGTAGAAAAAAAATATTTCTTTTGTTTTTGCCTAAATGTTAGCTATGTTGCAATAGAAATATGTATTTATGTAATATTTACCAATTATTGAATTAGTTTTTTCGTTGCCATGGCTAATTATTCAACAATTCATTAAAATTCGCAGTACATTTCCTATCATGTGACAAATTTTTAAGTTTGATTTTATTCAAAAATGGCACAATTTATCGATATTCAATAAGAGTACCTTTTTTATTTAGAAAACCCTAAATTTTCAAATTATAAAATTGAATTTCAAAAATAGAATCACACAAAAATTTTGGGGCTAAAATAACCTAAGTCCGTCCCTGTTACATAAGCTCCCAAACAAAAAACTGTCTAAAATTGCTAATATTTTTAAATAAAGCATAAAAAACTAGGCTAGAATACCAAATTTTATGTCTTTATCTCAACACGTTTCGGAAATATTAAGGAAAAACCATCTTCAGGGGAGCCCCTTTAAAAGACCGTAGCGCCCTTAGGGGACGTTTGTCGACCTATGTTTATATAAACTTTTCTTCCTATTCTAAGCTCTAGAAACCGCTGGTAGAATATTGCACACTTTTTTTCGGGACACCCTGTATAAGGGGATACTGGTACTCTTACCCCGCCAATAACGGTGGCTACAACTATGGTTCCACTCATTGGAAAATTTCCCCTAACAAGACGGGTCATTGGAACCGGCAGGGGTATCATGTAAAAAACCTATAAGACGTCAAAAAAGCCTATAAGATGTCATCTTGCAAACTAGATAGTTTCTAGGGCGCAACCAGTCATTCCACGTTTCCTCACTAGGATCGTTGTGAACGTGCATCTAAGGAGGAATCACTCAACTAAACTACACGCATTATTGGTTGCATATGTTTTGTGACGCCAAATGGTCCTTGTGTGTAGTTTTTATCTCTGAGAAGAAAATTGGTTGAATAGCAAGATCGCATCTGGATGACTATGTGTATTGGTCTGCATGTGTATAAAATCAGTGATATTTGCTGTGTGAGAAAATCATTACTGAATATGCTGCCAATGAAGTATATCTATTGGCTGTGTCCGACGAGTTATTTTTATGTTGTGCTTTCTGAAGAGAGGTTATGTTAAAAGTTATAAATTACGAAAAACTGAGGAGAATTATGGGAAATCATCACCGCGCCCGCGTTGTGTGTAATTACTGTTAGCATGTACATATATGGCATGTAATTCGACAGTGGACAGTGAATATAATTATTTCTTATCTCTCTCATTTTTGAAATTCAGCAAATTTGAATATGTAATTTACAGAATGGATAAGAAAAGTGGATGTGCAGCTAATTTCTAGCTTTGAATCTCAACTAAGTATATTTCAGACAAGAACCCAATGTAATTATCATCAAAAGTTACAGCTTAGACCTCCAATAATACCATCTGAGAAGCAGATTTTGTATCACATCAGAGCCAAAGATTGATAACAAGCCTCATGACGTTTAGGCATCACGTAGGTACAACTAAGTGCTAAGTTAATATCTTGTAGAAAAACCTACATAATGTCAAAAAAATATATATACCCGTGCCGCAGGGGTATTATGTAAAAAACCTGAAAAACGTAAAAAAAAACGTCGAAACGTTATATTTTTATACGCCTTCGGACGGTAATCATCATACACACATTCAAAAGAAAATTGGAGTATCGCTTGCAAAAACTAAGCAACACTTTGTTAATGTATTTAATAACATCGAGATGTGATTTTATTTGTCTTTGGTTTCCAATAAATCTGAATCATTTTTCTAATTTTTATCTAGACCTAGACGACAACATCATGCATCGCATGCCTGACAGTACTTTTTCCAAGAAGTACGATACAGTAAAACCTGTTTCTCCATCCCTCTTGTGGGAAACGTGCTGTTGTCACTACATTTTGTAATTCACCATCATTTGAAAACTTCCGTGTTCCCAAAATTAATGCAATATGTGTGATTTGCGACGTAGCCGACAAATTGACGATATCTTCAGATAAATAATTAATGAGATCTGCTTCGCGACACCTTTTATAGACGAAAAATTTTCATGTTGAAAATTTGCTCTATAGATTGCGTTTTACGTTATTTAAATATATGAAAATAAACCTGAATACCGTTTCTACAGTTTACATGAGAAATTGTGTGGTGGTGCTTAACAAAAAGAATAAAACATACATAAAAAGTGGCGTCCATGAAGTGCAGTCGTTTTTCCAAAAAAATAGAATATCTCAGATTGCAGCAATGAGTGTTACCGTACACGATAGCCCCATTTATTTGGGGCTCCGTGTAAAACTATTTGTCAAAAATGTTTGATACTTCACGAAATCAAGTAACCTGATTAAATTACAATACATGCATAATCTATATAATAATCTCGCTTCCTCCTCGTATGTGCATAATGAATCACTATCTGCTTTTATCCTTCGGATCAACTACCCAAGATACAATATTTACAACCTCGTGGCGCACAGCAAGTGAGACCGAAAGGTACGCGTAATCATTTATTAAAGTTATAAAGGCAAATATACGGGGAAATAATATGATATGCAAAATGTCTCTGATAAGTGCGTATAATTACCGGAGCTGGAAGTGTAATTAATATCCTAACAGCAGAAAATTGCAATGGTCCCTTCTCCACTCTCTGCAACCCCCCATCCCCTAATTTTTTACCCCTTAGAATTTTTTTCAAGAATGGTCAGGATCATCAGAAACGTCAAAAAACGAAGTGTGATGCATTTTTATATTTTTCGTTTTGGGCTTTTCTGCCCTTGGCATAGTAGTAACCTTGTGGAAAGATTTCATCCAAATCCGAGTCCTACTTTCCTAGTTATAGAGGGGCCAAGGATTAGCGAACAGACTGACGGAAATGAGTTGGTTGACATGGTTGTTCGTGATGTACATATGTCATATAAGATCGAAAAAACATAATATATCTTATTTTAGAAATTTTCTCGATTACTATACTCCCTCGCCAGTTTGCGTGGGAAGTAAAACAATACACCGTTGCATTGAACCCAGAACACATTGAAATCAAATAGGCACTCTACATCAGCACATTGAAAAATCAGTATTTTTGAAGTTATTTACCGCACAGTGTCATCGTTATACGTTAGTGCTATTTTTATACTTGGGCTACATCAGTATTCGAAAAAACAGTATTTTTGAAGTTATTCACCTCATAGTGTCATCCTTACTAGTATACTGTCTTGTGATTTAGAACGCTTTGGACGAAATGCTGTTGAGGCATAGGTTAGGTCAAGGGCCTACACGCAGGAATATTTTGGACAAAATGCGTATTATGGTCCCGACGACCGCGTTTTGTAAGATAAAACTGTATTTTCAATAACAGCTGGAATGGTTTATTTTCATCCACTTTGTAAGTACGATGTGATGTATAATTTTTTTGTCCGTGAAACGTTGAACGAATGTGGAATTCGTACATTCAAGAAAAAATCATAAATCGTCAGAATTGTCCAGAAATCAGCCAATATTATTTGATTTTTATTTCAGATATCCAATGAACGTAACTCCATGGCAGAAGTATGGTCACATTCCAAGTTTCAAACATTTCGTAACATTTTAATCCCCTTCATCTCCCTTGGTACATACTATGTTTCTGTATCTGTTCATGGTTCTCCATTGTTATTCATGTGAATTTATTGCACACTTGATATATTTTCGATGGATGGACGACTTCTACCAAAGAGTCATTCGTTTCGGCTGGTCGGAGTCCGGATCACTGAGGTCTTGATCTGGAACGAACATATCTTGTCAATAGCGGCAGCTGCTGGGAAAAAGCTCGGCCATTCATTTAGGGCTAAGAAGTACATTTCTCCATATGACCTCCTTATCCTGTACAAGGCCCAGATAAGACATAGCCTCGAAAATTTCTCACACGTTTGGGATGCTGCCGCCCCGACTGCTTTATTCATGCTCGATGCTGATCAGAGGAGGGCTATCTGACTGATCGATGACTCTTCTCTAACGGACAGTATCTGGACCCTTTCGCACTGGCGGGCCGTCGGCGATCTAGCTCTCTTCTACCACTATTTCAACGGACTTTGATCTCTTCTATGATGCCGCGATGTGCCTGCCAGACGTACTCGCCTGATTCCAGCCTCCCATCCTAACCGTGCCGAATTTCGTACATCTAGAACTGGCCGATACCACAGCTCTTCTGTTCCTAGGGTACCGAGATTGTGGAACAATCTACCTGATAAGGCTTTTCCCAGTCTACTAACCTTTAAAGTTTGATTAACAAAATTTCCTTAAGCCCCGGATAGCAGCTGCGGTGTTCTAGTATTTAAGCTTTGGCCGGCGCGGCTGCTTCGGTACAAAAAATATATTCAATAAAAATGTTAACATTTTTAAACACATTTACACATTCTTAACATATTAAGGGGATAATTTTTTCCAAGATTTAAAAATACATATTCCCTTCAATTTTAAAACAATATCTGTTCCAACACTCGGTAACAGCCAAAGAATGCAATGAGAAACGTTAAAAAAATATTAATGAGCTGTCCAGCGACTTTAAATGGGCCAACTGTAATATTGTATATTGAACTCTCCCTCTAGCTAAAGTCTTAGGCTAATATCCAAGTAATGAGATATTATGTGCAAACATTTATTACAGACATGAAGATACATTTAAAATTGATGTTCTCTACACGGTTATTAGATTTGTAACATGTGAGTTTATGACACAGTTTGTTGCACAGAACATTGGCCAGATTGATATAACTGAATGATTTTCTTTTGTTTCAGTTGAGCTTGGGTGTAGAAGATGGCATCTTGCAGGCATACAACCAAGACTTCGAACTCCAGTTCGCACACAAGGTGTCGCAGATGACGCGGTTTTCACAGGCTGACTTAGACGGATGCACATTCCTTTATCTGCTGAAGGATGAGCATGATTATCTTCTGTATTGTTATCTGTTTCAGGCAAAGAAAGTATCCGATGTAAGTGATTTTTTATCAGTAGCACTGGTTCTGCTCATCACAACGTAGCGCTACTGTAGAGATACTTTTTGCTGAACGCACTTGATCACTTTGAGCGCTACTGAAGCGGTCGCCATTTTTTTCATCATAAGCTCTTGATCAAATGCTACATCAAATTAATACTGTTTCATGGTGTTCAATGTTTTGTGTTTCCTATGCCCGGTTTAAAAACAGTGTATGTATATGTCTTGTTAAAATAAAAGCTGATATAGAAAATTATGATTAAAAATTTCTAAATTGATGAACAAACAGGAGAAATGGGAGGAAGGAATGAAACTATTAACTTACGGGTACGCAACAAGCTCTATTCAGTCACTTAATTAGCAAAGGTTCATTTCATTCTACAAAAGGCAACATTTCATTGTGCGAGGATTTATTGTAATCTCTAGAGATTTCGAAAATAGATTTGGATGTTATATGATATGTACAGGGTGGCCAACTAAGAATGCGAGACACTGTAGCTGGGAACCTATCCATACGTAGGGGCTTGAAGCAAAAACAGTTATCACTAAAACGGCCAAGAAAAAAACTTGGAAAATATCTTCAAGTCAAATCTTTTGTTAGGTTCAGATATCAGGTATTTTTACCTGATCTTAAGTTCTAGGATAATCTCAACCTTTTTTGTTTTGAAATGTTTGCTGTAGCTCTAAAAATAAAGAGTTGGGGGTATTCAAAGGTTTATGTAAAAAACACCCTGTATCTTCGAAATGGATAAGCCGATTTTTACAAACTTGGGATAGTTGAAAAGAGCTATTCTTTGGCTACAAATGTTATTATATTTGAAGTTTTGTTAGTTTCATATGTGGCCGCTGGAAGGCTTTTTTTTCGACATCACGACAGAAGTGGTTAATTTTCTCAAAAAAATTAAATGCATTGTATTTTGCTTATGAAAAAAGTAGCTAATGATGTCTAAACAACCTCGTGAAAACCGCATCCCGATATCTTGTTCTTAACCTGAAATTAAGGCCAATGAAAATTTTATACGGAAATCCCTTAAATCTTTATACTTATTTTCTGCAGACCAGTAATGCATATTGTGCAGATTGACTCTCCGGTCACTATTAAAAGTGGCTTCATCGGTCCAAAGAATTTGAAATAAATATTATCTATTTTCGCGTACCATGCCAAACATCCAATGGCAATAGTCCAACCTCCGATCAAAGTCTTCCTTATTCAAGGCCTGATGCAAAATGACATGATATGGGTGCATTCTGCAAGTATATAAAAAAGTTGAATTTAATGAAATCCCTATATTTTGATGGCCATTAGAGCTTACCTATGGTCCTTCAAAGTATTTTGAACCGTTGTTCGTGACAAGCCCAACTCAAGCGATAATACCTTTGTACTAACATGATGATTCCCTTCAATATATCCCACTACGCGGTTAATATTTTCTTGTGTTCTTCCAACTCTTTGCAGTTGAAACGTAGTAGGCTGAAAACTGCCATTGGCTGGTAAGCTCGCCACTAATCGGGGAAGGACTCTCACACCTCAAAGACGCCGATGTGGTTATCGAGTCGCGTAAACTTTTTTTGCGACTGCGGCATTCTGAATGGATTCATAATTAAACTGCAAGCATATTAGCTTCATCGTGCGCAAAACGCATTTGGTAAGCTCAAAAATTGATCAAAGTAATGCGAAACTATTGACAACTATTGACAATTTGAGGATTATTTATGTTTTGAGTGGTTTTGATTATTATTTGTTTTGTTGTATTCCATGGCCTGCTTCTACTAATTGTCTTTTTCGTATATATCTACCCACAGTAAAATGCCTTTTGTTATTAGCCTTACTTACTTACCTTTTAACGATATTTTGTAATATTTTCAAGAAGGGTGAATTTATTCTGATAAATAAAAAAGAATTCCAGAAAATAAAAATGTAAGGGACTTCCGTATAAAACTTTCTTTGGCCTAAATTTTAGGTTAGGAACAAGACATCGAGATACGGTTTTCGCGAGCTTGCTTAGCATTTAGCATCTTTTTCATAAGAAAAATCCTACCAATGCATTTAATTTTTTTAAGAAAATTAACCATTTCTCTCGGAATGCCGAAAAAAGCACTCTAGCGGCGACATGTGGAACTAACAAATTTTCAAATATAATAACATTTATAGTACAAGAATAGCTCTTTTCAACTAGCTCAAATTTGTTAAAACCGGCTCAGCTGTTTCGAAGATACAGGCTTTTTTATGGCAATATTTGAATACCCCCCACCACTTTATTTTTAGAGATACAGCAAAAATTGTCAAACAATCCTCGAATTTAAAGATTAGGTATTTTTTGTTAGGTTAATGTAGCGGAATTTACAGAAACATCACTCTTTTAGATTCGACATTGCAGTTACGCCCCCGAGACTTGAACATATTTTCTAGATTTTTCTCTTGGCCGTTTTAGTAGGTAATTTTTTTTCCGGGTAGGTTCCCAGATACCTGGCATTCTTAGTTGGCCATCCTGCACAATCCCAAATTACAATTGCTTAACATTTTTTTCTGAAAATAAAAATGTGCCATGACACGTCATAAAATTTTCAAAAACTACAGAACTTTTTCTTTCTTGGATTAGCAGTATCCTACATCAAAATTTCAGCAAAATCCGAGCGATAATTATAGAGGGGTCAAGGATTAGCGGACAGATAGACAAACAGACCGAAACACAAACAGATCGACTGAAATTAGTGATTTTCCATTATGTAATATCCAAAAAACAATATTCCATTTTTCGAAGTTTTTCGAGATCACAATATTTCCTCGCCAGGGCATGGTGAGAGATTCCTTGTAAATATTACGAAGACTATTAATGACCTTGAGCAACATATTTTTCAAGCTAATGGTGAAATTGGGCTGCGATGGAACTAAAACCTTACTGAAAATTTTAGTTGAAGGACGATCATCTGTAAAAACATTTAGAGAAAATCATTTATTTAACAACTTATACACTTCTACATTCGGATAATACAGAAACTTGTCAGATGACAAAAGCCAGTGACATATTCCAGAACAACTAGATATTTATTGCTAAATTGCATTATTCAATTATTACATTAATTTTCTCGGACAATAGAACGGTTTTTATTTTTCTACTCAAAAATGGCGCATCAAAGGAAAACAATTCAAGAGAGATCATTTGTTTTAAATTGAACGGGGAATTCAAATTTAATTTTTATTTGGCAAAAACTATTGGCGTACCATTTTTTTCTTAAAAAATATCGTAGTCAATACTCGTACGCACGCCACTGTTAAAGCTAAAAATTATTTTTGCATTGAAAAATATGCAACTTTATCAACTTTCACTACGTACTAAATATCAGTGAAATATCTGATGCGGTTCTGAAAATATTAATTAATTTCCATTTTTTTCCTAAAACTTCAACACCCCGAGTTTTTGCGAGGAAACATTTTTGGACCATAGTTTATAAAGCAAACTAACATTAATTTTTCATGCTGATTCACACCCTCAAATATTCGCATTTCATTAAGGAACACCCTGTATAAACAAGTATGATATTTTGCCATAACTGTTGATACTGCTTAAAATCAAAATCTCGAAGAGCCTATTAGAACACATACATTTATACATAAATTCATAAAATGAGTTCAAAATTACAACACATTCTAAAAGAAAGGGAATATTAGTAATGTCTCGGATTCACATAAAACTTGTAATATATGAGTTCTTCAGGTCCCAATGCACAAATCCAGGAAACTTTTTTTGGATCTCATTCCAAAAGATTCCTCTACGTTACTCGAATGTTTAGAGAGAAGCAAATGTGACTTTCAGGACAGTAATAAGCTTTTCTAGAAAATTTCTCTTAACTGTCCATGACTTCTTTTCGTGCGGATCGTCGAATATCGTGAACGGTCCTGATATGATATGAACGATTCCATTGGTACACATATAGTTCGGTTTCAAAACGTGCATCAGCTTGTTTCTCCATATAAGGTAGTACTGTCCATCTTTCTCTCTGACCATAATCCTCAAAACTCCATTTTCTGTTGGCAAATCAACATTTGTGAAGTAATAGTCGACCTTACTCATATCTACCAATTTTTCTATGGTGTAACTTTTCTGAGCAATGACCAAATGCCTTTTGAGTATATCCAAGTCTTTTTCAACTTGTTTTAAGCCTTCTTGCTTCACCATGTTCCAAAATCGATCTGTAGTTACGAAATATGTGAATTGCAAGTCCTCTCTATGTAAAATGTCATTGAATCCTGTGCTTTCACCTAAAGTGTAGATATAATCCAGGTCGGGATCGGAGCTCAGTTTGGTCAGAATGTTGAGGAATGGAAAGGGTCTTACAATAACTGGTCTGGGTAGCTCTGAGTTGTTGAGGTGCGGTACAGCTCTATGTGCCCTGAAAAATAGGCAACGCATTACCAATAAATTCTAATTAATATTTAATTTAAAATATTAAATGTAGGACAACAACAGTCTTGTTATTCGCGGGAGTTCTTCAGGGCACATATTGGGTCTGACAAAATAAAAGAAATGGATGCTTTTACTCGTGAGTTGTGAGTTCTGTAAAGTAATCGATAATTAATGCTCGAGCTGCAAATAATGACTCAACCATGAAGCACCTAAACAAGAAGTAAATTGTCAAAAAATGTATAATAAAAAGTAAGTACTAATTTCGTAGTAAATACTCATCGTCTAGCAAGGTTGATCAAGCTCAGGCTTTTAGTTAACCGCTTTCATGATTCAATTTTAGGTTTGACAAAACGTTATTGGAAACGAAATTACTGAAATTTTACAGCGCACACTTTATCTTCCATACTGTATGCAAGGGAGGAAATTTTCTAATTTGAGAGATTTTATGTGGTTTTTAGTTGGCGTGAGATAAAAGCAACTTAATCGTAACGAGGTTTTTTACTATATATGGTCAAATGCAGCCACATTTTAAAAAAATGTCTGCATAGCGGCCGAGACAAAAACATAATTCTCAAACTATTTTTCATACTTCTCATGTTTCTTAGTCGCAATCTCTTTTTGCGTACTAAAGCATTTTTGGAAGAATCAATATTTGAGATGAAGCTTTATTTTTTTAATGCCTCTAAATTTGGGCGTATGAATAAAGTAGCTTTGGGATCCGAAAACCTATCAAGTCGTACTTGAGTCATTTTGTGGTTAGGAAATTCTGAAAAGCTTATTTTGTTTGTGACTCGGCTTTATCTGTTATTCGTAAGCAAATGCAATTATTTGATGTTTTTGTTCAATAGAATTTTAGTTTCGGCCGAAACCAAAACTTTCAACTGAGGGGAGGCAAGATACTGGTGTATCTCCAAGAAAACACAAACTCAGACTTTATAAATTAATGTTAGTAATAATAATAGCAGTTCATTATTAAAGAAAAAATAACAAACTATATGTATTATCAGTTTTTATCAAGTATTGTTAAGATTTATGTAAGGAAAAGCAAACCTTAAAACACGAAAGAAATGATGTATTTTGTTTGTAACATTTTGTAAAAAACAGACAATAACACAAAAATAACAACATATGGCCTGCTTCACCAATACTGTTTAACGTTAGTCTAGACGGAAACCTCGTTCATTTTGAAGATTTCTATTGTACAACTACTTAAACCCCGTTTAAAATTTTGTAAACTGAGAAACGATCAATTTTTGCAGTCTAAAAATCGTCTAATTCATTTTTAGTATTTAAAAATGGACACTATTGGTCATGATATTTTAAACGATGATTTGGGTATCCTTAAACTAATAAATAGTGGTTTTCTATAAGAATTATTCAAACACCCAAAACACAAACTATTTCTTGGTGATTAGTAACTATGACATTTTTTAGGAAATTTAGTTTGTACAGTTTTGAATATTCTGGCTGAAATTGAAATTGGGCTTGACCTAGAATTCCCCAATAATTTGTGAGTAATCTACTATCTTGGATTACATTAAAAAAGTCCCCAGATTTCTGTAGTTTTAAAAACTCAAATTTAATGTTGGTGCAATTAATAATAATCATAATTAAACAGTCGAATATTATATCACATGAATAACAATTTTTCAACATTTTCCTCTAGCAAATTTGACTTTTGGTCTAAATAAATTTGCCCGAAGGCGCCCGATAACATACGAACATAGTTTCGGTTGCAGTTTCTGCGGAAACTGGCGGAAACCGAAAGTTCGGTCGGATACTAATTTTAACATTTTTAAACAACGCCCACTATCCATTACTCACCTTTGTGCGTTAACTACATGTACCATAACGTAAATAATTAAAAGAACTGATTCGATTGCACATTGTGATTTCATTTTGCTACATTGAACGCTGAATTTTGTTTAATCAACCACATAATTCGGACAAGGTCGTGGCCAGAGATATACGGTTTCTTTGCAAGATAAAATAGTTTATAAACAAGCTATTAAACCTCATGTGCATTTTACATGTTTTTGCTAGTATCGTATTACCAGGAAACTATAAATAAACACACTTTTGGTAATATTCCTCAAATGTCTTCCAAATGCTTAGTCTAAAATAAGAGACACCATAAGAAATGTCGAGAAGGGTTTCGTGTATTTTTGTCTGTACGGATGAAAATTACCAGTCGTGGCTTTTTAACCACAACTTTTTCAAAATTGATAGCTGAACAAGCATATTTAAGGGAATGGATTCTTAGTTCAGATTATCTAACTATGTAGTTTATAAAACCTTTTTTCAGTATTTCTGATATTAATCAATCCCTATCTAATGCTATGTAAAACATACATCCATAATTCCATCGTTTATTTTGTTGAGAAATAAACAAGATATTTGTACTGAATAAAAGGGGTTAATGTAGATGACATATGGCATTTTCATTTTTCAACAGAGGCATGTAAATTGCATTCAAAATAAAATGTAATGTAAATCTATTCTGCATGAAAACATTAACCTCGCAACATTTACAAATTCATGACCATGTGTGTTTTCAAAATACGACGCCATATAACAAGTTCTACTTCATACCAAATACAAATGTTGTAAATTTCAACAATAAACACTTTGATTAGATGCTACGTCACCGGAGGTAAACATAAGGCTGATATATTCATGGACATACGCTGAACATTTTGAAAAGGTAAAATCAGGTTAACTCAACAGCAGCTTACTGATTACAGCTACTTGAGAATTTTCAGAACCTTACAAAAAACAAAAAAATCTCCTAGGATATCAAATATTTTCAAAGCTTACCTCAACAGGAAACTCTAAAGAGAATTTTATATGTGTGTATGTATATGTGATCAGAAAGTGCATAGTCACCCAACATTTAATTTTTTACGTACAGGGGGCAAGACTGTTTATCTATTTAAAAAATGAAAACTTCTGCAAGTACCGTAAATATTAGGCGACAGTTCACTCATAAAAAAATGTCGAAGCTGTACAACTGCGGTGCGTTGATTTCTTGGAAAAGCATATCAATTTTGAGATTAACGAAACCTCTCAAAAACGCAAATATAATCTTGATATCACTACCAATAGGTGAGATAATCCAGAGCAAATCACCTCACCGAGTACCCGGCCTAGTACTGCCTTTTGGAAAAAGTAGCACTCAGGGTATCTCTAATGTTAATTAATGCAAGAAGCGTGTGACACTTCTATGCTATTATTACACTTTGCATGCTCCTCCACTCCACCCGCGCACGGCTTGCATTAAATTGAAAACAGATCGTTTTTATGATTCACCTACATCCAATACGATTTATGGAAATATTTTTTTAAAAAATAACTTGTATGTTCAAATGCTTCAAATACAGGATAAGGTTGAAGTTAAGAGCCATATACTCGTATATATTGTTGACACTAAAATTGGTACCCGAAACAAAACTTTTTTCGAAAATCGACGAAATGAAATTTACTCATCTGGAAACAACCTGCCTAGGCATACATTTTAGTTCATTTAGTTCATTCCTCTACTCTATACATTTTTTTCAGCCATGCTTACATGAACTAACAATCCATATTTGTAGGTACGCACATGGTTACCTGTCCCAGCATAACGATATAACAATTTTCACTTAGGTCCCAATGCACGTGTCGCTAAGCTTATATTTTAGAATCAATATGCTTTGCCAAAAAGATATTCCATCACTCTATTTACATACATAGGCTAAAATTAAGTTTGAACATTTCGACAGTTCAAAGCGCCAAAGTAGTTGGAATATGAGTGCAAGTAGGGCTCTGTGATTGATCATGTGGAAGTGTTTACATCAAAAGTGTGCTTTTATCACAAAGTGAAACGGAAATAACACGTGCCGGTGATGGAAGTGCATTAATTGATAGCAATCAATAGGAATTGCCTTAATTTTTCATCGCAATTGGTTTGTTGATATTAGTTATAAATCAAGTGATAAAAATAGACCTGCTGCTACACTGCTTTACTGTAGGTGAGTGTGAGTTCATTCCTGTATACTTTTATTTAATCTTTTTCTTGCATGAAGGCATATAAAGAGTAAATTTCTAGAAGCTGATTTGCAAAAATTATAGGGTAACTATACGCTCCACACTTGGAAAATATGTTGCTCTCTATAGGGTGGTCCATCGCTACGTAGCAACACAAACATCCATTTTTCAAATGGGGGTCAAGTGGCAAAGTAGCATTATGCTAAACTTTGCCCCTTAAAAGACGATTTATTATTATTATTATTAGATCGACTGCCCTGTATATTTACTATATTCTTTTAGCCCTCTTAAAAGTAAGAAGTTTCTATTGCATAGTATTGGGTTTTGCTCGCTACTTCTGGAGCTACCGGACATTTTGGGAAAAAGTCTCACAGCTTTTAATTAAGTCACCTTTGCAGATATAGTAGCAAACTTTTCATCAAAATGAGCTTAATGCCCCATAGCTGCCCGTCGTTTGATGGTATTTATGTATGGGGTGTTTCAAATAATGTACTTTTTCCTCAAGAAAATGAAGCCCGTATATTTTTAAGGCTTTGGATTATTCTTTTCGTGATCTTTATTTTGGTATTTAATTATTGGGGGTTATTTTACTAAATTTTTAGTTATTTCCAATTTCCCATAATTACAATTCAGAATAAATAAACGTCTTCATTGAAATTATCATTTAATAAATTATGTGGTGTTTATATATTTTGAACTGTATTTTCTGTGAAACAATAGCTCAAAACATAAATACCTGCTATATGCAGGAACCGTAATTTTACAGGGACGGAAAAAACCTTATCAATTTTATACTACCGGCCTTAAGACTCTACAACTTTGGTCACAAAAAATAAATGATCTAAATGAAGCTCTAATTGACAAAATTAGTGCAGATAGCTGATATTTCTGATAACTTTCTTTGCAGTTAGCAGATATTGTACTATGATGCACAGATGGATTTAGTGAGATTCGTGTTAGAAAAACTGTTATTCATTATGTCAAATTAAAGGTTTAATGCTTTTACAAATCAAAAAGATAATAGCATTTATTCTCAGTTACACCTTAAATGAACGTTCAGGTTCTTTCCTTGACATATGGCAAATTGTCGTAAAACATGTGACAGTCCTTAGATATAACACTTATAATCTGAAATGACGGGTAGCTGTTTTGGTCTCATAGGCAACTCCTGAGGCTCTACACTGTCTAGTCTAGTTTCACTTCAATTTTTACATCGGGATTATAATATATAGTACTTTGATGTCCGTGACTACATTGTCCCTGTCTGGTCCAATTGTTGAGTTTTGCTGCACCTCTGTTCTAGAGTAGTCCTTGAAGAAGTCGTAACTCAATTGGATCACCTTATATGGCTGTGGTTTTGTCCTAGCTTCTTTTGACGCCTTAACATAGTCATTTGGTAATTCAATAACTCTATTTCTCAGTTTTCTTTAAATGCAACTGTGTACAGAGTCCCATTCCAATTTGGGTGTTTCCTTTGGTGAGATATTTCTGAGAAATCACAACGTCGTGTTTCATTGCAAAGTTAAGAAAAATATTACGCATAATTGGCAGATAGCTGGAATTGCCGCTCATTGACAGACGTGTTGCCAGTAGTAGGTATTGTTTTGGCTGAATAATTCAAAAACTAAATTTTTCTGCAGTTAGCGGACTCTATCACAAAGTGCGCTGTAGGCAGACGAAGAAAAATGTGCATATACCTCGAGTTGGGCAAAATGTCAGATAGCAGGTATTGTCAGATGTCCGATGATATATTGAATTTTTTAAAACAGTTTGACAAATAGTTACTACTCTATCTGCAAAAATGACACAGCTGTCACAGTTAAGTGTTTTTTGGACAAAATGTCCTGTAGCTCCAGGATTGGCTATCCAAACCCAATAGATTGTATATCCAGCTACTTACTTTGAAGATACCTTTTGGGAAATAATAAAATATACAGGGCATTCCATTAGAAAAAATGTTTGTGTTGTCACGTAGTTATGAATCATCCTGTAGAGAGTGACATATTTTCCAAATACTATACCATTTTACTAAATAACTTTTTTTGATATCTTTTATAATAATGGGGAAACCGCTGTCAAAATGAAAGCTTAAAAGCGTTATACAAGTATGTCTGCTAACATTCTATATTTGATTACTCAAGTATTAGACAACTGAATTTCGTATACAAAACATACACACTAAGTTAAATTTCCAAAAATGGTTGAATAACGTCAAAAACCTCAAAATGGCGAAGATTGGGCTGTTAAAAAACAATCATGTACTAAAATAAAGAGCAAAATGGTGAACAGAGTTTAAAATTAAATAGGTGAATGCAAAACTTTCATTCATGCGATCAAATCCAAATTTGAGTTATTTGCAGGACCGATCCATTTTGTGTGTAAGTGTGTGCGTATAAGAAATTTGTACGTTGAGAGGGCATTTAAATCATCTGTATTTCATTCTAAATAATCAGCTAATAGGATTTGACTTTTATACAGGATACCGATAGAACGTGACGTTAATTTCATGCCAAATTTTATACGTCAGAGAATATTATATAATATTTACTCTCATCTGACGGAAGCCTAAACAAAGTCTAGGGAGTCAGTGCTCCTTACGCTGCGGAGGAAAACTTTCGCTGGGACAATATTTGTTATTTAAACTGAAAACCGCTCTGATTGTGATATTTTTAAGTTGTACCTTAGTAAAGTGTAGTAAAATCTTGCCACTGTCTCATTGAGCCCACAACCCTAATAAATATCAAAGACACTTCCGAACTATCATCAGAACATAGTACGTCACAGGTTAGGTTATCGTTCACAGAAAAAGGTGAAAAAACTCAGAATATAGTTGTTATAGGCGAAATGTTAATATTCCGTCGATATAAAGTTTTGGAAAATACCTCATAGCTTGATAAATATTAGAGTACGTTTATACAAATTAAGTATATCTCAGTCAACACCAGAAGAAAAAATATACAACTTTTTATTGGCTTCCCCACATCGCGGGAGAATATTTCCTATGATTTTTACTTTCCATTGAAAAAAAAAATAGAGCATTAAAACCATATTTAGTAATGATTATTTCTGATAATAATATGTTCGGATGAGAAGTGCAATCCTATTCCTAACAAGATGAGCTACAATTCAAATAAAATCTCACATCTGGGATATCCAGCAATTTTGAATGACGGCCAACTAAAATGTATATTTACCTATACATAGGTATAAAGTCCGGATTCAAGTAATAAAATTGAAACATGTTAGGATTTTTAATGGTACATGCATAAACAAAACATTTATAAATTATCCGCGTGTATCGTAATGAGAAATACCATTGAGTTTTGATTAACTGCAAACACCAAAAAAACGTTTTTTTATTTTTTTTTTTCAACTTGACCTGTTGGTAAAAATCTTGAAACTGATTTTGAACCAGTAAGAAAAAAACAATTGAGCTGAAATTTTATTTACATGGCGGTTTATCATTTCCGTAGTAATCCCTATGTTGTTCATAGTCACCATTAAGATATGAGTACCTTCTAGTCGTCATTGTCTGTCAAGGCGGCCCATAGGACCTTTGTCTTTCTGTCAAATGAGTATCATATGAAAGGTCTGGATAAGAGGAACATATCATGCAAGTCCAATATGGCACCCGCCGAAGAATGACGTTTTATAATTTCCATTGTCATTCCTATGAATGAAAAGGCTTGCTGAGCGAAGCACAATAAATAAATCGACGCCGTTCTAAATCCAATGAGGCGGATGATTGAAAATATGTACTGTTCTTCATCTTAAATTTTCAAAAAAAGTGTAACATTAAAAAAAACGCGAGGGGAAAAGAGCGTAACACGCTTTTATTTGAAAACCTAAGACGAAAGAGTTTTATTATCATATAAAGATGAAGGATTATAAAACGGCATATTTCCAATATGAAAAAATATGGTCAAGTTTTCAGTTTTTTTATAAACAGCTAAATAAAAGCTTGTTTTTAAAGTTTTTCCTTTTATCCATTACTTTTACACATTTAATCACGTACCTCGTGAATGGAAATGGAAATTCAGAAGTTTATATGTATACCTGTACAACTTTTGGCATTTTAATAAGATGTTTTAGTACAAAGTTCTTCTGTGGTACAATGATATTCCAAAACCTTAAAAGTAGATAATCATTGGGTGATGCCTGAGCATAGAAGAAGTGTAAAATATACAAAAGTGTGTCCAGTAATCCCATGACAGCATTACCAGAAATCAGTGATTTCCGGAGTTGAGCTGACCGTGTATGAACTCGAATTGCCATTCGACAATTTTTGTCATAAATCTAGGCTCTGTATCACTAGTTTGATATAATCATGAAAAGTTTACACCTATGGTACTGATTGCAAACAGTTGATGCTTCAAAGAAATACCAGCTGAAAAATTTTGCAACAAAGTAGTATAATGGATCCCGGACTAATTCGTGTTTTTGATATAAACGCACAAAAAATATATACTTATACTAAAACTGAAGACATAAACAATAAAGCATAGTGTTGTTTATGTTATTCTAACATCTTATCTCTAGTATTTTATACCTATTTTAAAACACAACATTTCCACTGGCAGGGTATCCGACTGTAGGTTCGCTTAATTTTATTCGTCGAAGGTTGATGAATGCTTTGTTTCCTTACTTCATATCAAACTGCATCCATGATTTTGAGATCTACGTCCGAAACGATGGTTGTTGACCCAAACGATTAGATTCACTAATGCAAGAAAATGAAAGTTGGAAAATTGCCACTTTGAAATATAATTATAATTTCTTTTCACGGTTTTTGGCGGTTACGTCATCAATGCTAGACGAAATACGTAAGCAAACCGACTGACTGAACCATGTGCGGAGCTGAAGTTCTTAAGAAAATTGCACATTGGGCAAAAGGCCCGGGTATTACGTATCTTGAACAGTGACATATTGTCAGTTTTTTGTGACATATCGTAGGTTTTTCTACAAGATGTCAACTTAGCACTAG